TGAATCCTGATCAAATTCCTGTTGTTTCTGCTTTAACCTAGAATGAGAATATCTGCCTAGGTTGATAGAGTATCCTTGATTGAAGGTAGGGAGTTGGTGACTTTAGTCGAGGAACCAACTCACTATTCTGTACCGGATTTACTCCGGTAGTGGAGGTTTTGTTCTTAGGGCCTCAATCTGTCTACTCCGGTGGAGGTTAGTCGCCCGCTAGAGACTCAGATTGAGAGGGTCTGAAGACCTTTAGTCGAGACTTCAGGCTGTTTAAGAACCTTCCGCAGTATAACTATCATAGAAACTGAACTTGGTAATTACAATCCGGCTTAACTGCAGTCTAGGGGGAACCATATCCGGGTGACCTCTCTTAACCTGAATACAACAGTTTACTTGCTTTGTTAGTTTGATAGTTTAGACTTGCATTCCAGTTTCATTGCTAGATAACACGAATTCACTGAGTAGTCATCATATCTAGGACCCGGGTTGATAATTAAACCCAAACCCGCTATACTACGCTTTAGGAAGTGGTTTCACTTGGCCAATTCCTGGAGTGACAGTAGAGTCGAGTCATCCAACTTCACCCAAACCCAAAACCAAACACATACACAGACTCCCCAAGCCAAGGCGCACCTTCTCTGAGCTTTTGGTGGAGTTTAGTTCACATTTTTTTGTCAGCAAAGTAGCTCCGGCGAAGCTCTGGTGATACCCTTCGGCCAGATTTTCGGCCGATTTTCGACTCCTTTCCATTCTCCTCACCTTCCTCACTAATCCTACCTAAGTTTCCAAGTGTGTTTTCATCTTTTACTTTCTTAATTTTGGAGAAGTGGATTAGGGTTTTTTGGTAAGGAGAATTAGGATTGCTGCATTAATGATTGATTTGCCCCGGTGGGCTTGATTTTGCATGTTTTGGTCATTGAATTGAGAAATGCCCACCAAGTGTTTGTTTAATTTCATATCCTTTATACCCTTTTGTGCATGTTTAATTGTGGTCATCAAGGCATGATCTAGGCTTGCGATAGCAACCTTGATGATCTATGAGACACCTAGCTTCATGCCTCGGTGTCCCTTGTGAATGTTTAAGCTTAATTGTTGATTAACCAAGCTTGTGAAAATCCTTTGAAGACATGTTGCCAATGTGGAATCTTAAGTGTGAGAGGTTAACTTTCTCCCCAATGAGCATTATTTGATGATTGTTTCCACGTATGGTGTGTGTGTGTGTGTGTGTGTGTGTGTGTGTGTGTGTGTGTGTGTGTGTGTGTGTTTTGTAGGATGGTTGACCCTAACCACCCATACATTCACTATTTGGTGAACAACCAAAGTATGGAGATGGGTTCGAGACATTCTGAAACATGGACATCGGACCCGAATGGAGTTTGGACTTCGACATATTTTGCATGTTCAGGTGTCAAGCCACGATCTATAGAGCTATCGTCCATCCGTAATTGCGTAACCTCCTTAGCATCAACGAGCTCTATGTGGAGGTCCACTCCACATTCGTGCACGAGGTGCCCAAATGTTGTTTGTGTCTACACCATTGTCAAGTCACCCTTGTGCTTCGAAGCTCCCATCAATTGAGATTTAGTGAGGTTCCACTTTGTGTGTTTTGCATAGTTTCCTGCTAAAATGTGAAAGTGAATGTTGGAGGTAGTTCTTAAGAAATGAGCATTGTGTTCAAAGTTCAAAGAAAGTGGCATGTTTTGTTTACCTTTCTAATGTCGCTCAGAAAAAAGACAAAAGAAAGAAAGAAAAGAACTGAAAAAGAAAGTAATAAAAGGGGCAAATAAGAAAAGAGAGTTGCCACCAAATGTTGTTTGTGCTCTACGAAAGTGTTTCTTGGCTATTAAGCTACTAAGACACTTACATGTAGTTTACCTTTTTCACTCTTGTGCTTGAAAAAAATGGATAGCAGGTGTAGCAAAGAAAGTGTGCTTTGAATATTGTTCGTGATTGGTTTGTTTTGGGAATGGTGCAATGTTTGGCCATTGGTCTTTGTGACTGGTTTTGTATTGATTAGGATAGGTTCTAGGTGAATTGTGGAACCTCATGTTATATGTGCCACCTCCTAAAAGGCCTTTTCCCCTTGTCCGAGACCCTAGCCAACTATCTAAACTCGTGTCTAAGACCCCACTGGTTGAAAGTGAGTGATTCATTCATATTTTCATGTTCATATCATACATCCCGGTGAGGATGTAGTTTTCTCCATTTTTTGTTTCTAGGACTGATCTTTATGCATGGATAACTGTGATTTATCAGTCGTCATGGCGGCTTATGTGTTGGTTTCTGAAAAATGTGAGAACTCTTTGTTTGCATGTTCTTAACGCATTTGAATATAATTTGTGGTGGTTGCCAGGATTGCTTACTGTTGTCCATATTTGATGACAAATAAACATCGAGATCCATCCACTTTGTTCCCTTCGACATGTCCCCCAAGTTATTGTGTTTAGATTGAGATATTACCTTGTGTGTGATTGGTTTGCTTGGGGACAAGCAAACGTCCAAGTGTGAAGGATTTTGATTGGCGCATAATTACACATATTTTCACACCATTATCTTCTGATGTTTGTGGTGTTTACATCGCCCGAGGTTTGTTTTTATGCTAGGTTTGTGCGCATTTTAGTATGTTTAAGGTCTTAGCAGGCGCAATTAACCTTGGGAGCAAATTCAAACGAAAGAGGGCAAAATGGAGTGAGATGGACAAAAGGCATATATCACGGTCAAGGCCCAATTATCACGGTCGGGAGACTATGAAAATGGAGGCCAGACTGTGAAGATGGATAAAGTCCAGAGAGATTTACACATCTTGCAGGCCAGTCAATTGTCACGGAAACCATACCGTGATAATTTCCTTCCACCGTGAAGATGATAAGTGAAACGGCGTTTTGGGCCGATATCGCGGGGATGCTTCCAACATCATGAGCATGATATCTGACCGTGAAAAGTTCCCTAGTGGAGTATATAAAGAGAAGAAAGTTGAAGGCTACAGGAAGGAGTTCTAGAGTGAGATTGAGTTCTTCTTCTTCGGATAGAGAAAGAATGTCACGAACCAATGGAGAAATAAGAGGGTTTGACCTGCCTAAGGCTTGAAGAGTGTAGATTTCTCCTCCAAGGAGGCAATCCAAGCACTTAGAAGGGAAGAGAAGCATCTTATCATGGTTGTTTCCTCCATCTTTGATGTATTCCTCTTCTTACTCATGGAGTAGTTCCCCAATTCACTCGGGTATTTTGAACCCTAGTCTAGGATGTGTTAGATGGTAGGAATTGAACTCTATGTGTGATGGGTTTGTGTTTAATATAATGTTTTGAGGTATTTTTTAAGATTCTTGAGTGTTTTTTTTTTTTTTTTTGCATATCTCAAAGTTATGTCAAATTGACCTTGGTGGAGGAAATCCCCTTGTGGACCATAATAAGCTAGGTTTCATAGCCAATTGGGCAATTAAGGACATGCCTCAAACATCGGATTAGTTCCATGAATGTATCGTGATTGCTTACTTTTTCCCGTTCTGAATTAGCTTCTGGAGTGGTCTTGGCAATTATTAGTCGATTAGTCAAGATCGGAGTTAGCTTCCTAGCTTATTGTGACAATCCTCGGTTAATCGACTAAGAGAGTGGGGTCTCCCTACTAATTGCACCTTCCTCACAGTAAATGAACACTACTTTCTACACTAGAGTTTCATTTGGTTGACCTTGACACGAGACTAGGGGGAGCGATACCCGAGTGAAGTTTTCTCACATCAAATTCATCACAATTTACTTTCTTGCTTGCTTTCATCTGTAATTCTTTAGCTTTAACTCCAAACCGTTCGCTAGATAAAAAGTTAAAAAACGATTGAAGTAGGGGTACATGGACCACCTCGGGTTGACAAGTAAATACTTACCCCATTCTACACCTAGTCATTTGTTATACTTGGCCATCGATTGAGTCCCCGACAGAGGATCGAGTTGAAAATCACCCACCGACAACCAAGGTTCAAGAATCTGGGAAGCCAATGCGTTGATTCTGTACCCAGAGCTCTTGTCTCTTTGCTGCGTTGGGGCCGTCTAACATAGATAGCCAAAATAACCACTTCCACATTACGAGCATTCCGCCTCTGATATTTGAAATGAACCATTTGCTCTCATACTTCAAGTCGCTGTCACTAGGCCACGGCTTTTGTTTCGGGCCGGATTTTCCCCCCTGTCGGGCCGGACTTGGCCTTCTAAGCCTCTTTTACTGGGCCTCTTTTTCATGTCCCCAACAAAAAAAAGCACCCGTCAATGCAGTGATGCAAATACTCAAGTAAGTTGAACCCAACATGATTCAGAAACCTTCAAACAAACACGTGAGAAGTTAGGTAGAATCTTTTCAAGGGGCGATGTTTTGTAACCAAAGTTGAACCACCAGGATCCGTTTTGCGGTGTGTAAAATCAAAAATGAAATCCCCCCCCGTTTCCCCGAAATGCACGCTATTAGCAAATCAAGAAAGGTGGGCATATCCCTGTAGCATAAGCATCAGGCGGACCTTTGTTAGTGGGGTGGCAACAAAAGCAGATCTATTCAAATTAGTAAATATAATAACAACTTAAACATTAATTAATAAAGATGAGAGGCAGGCAAGAAATGAAAGCGGCGTCGTAGTGGGTGCTTTTGTTTGTGCGGTAATGATAGAGCCAGTTGACCGAGGACGGACGGACGGAGGGAAGGAAATGGAGAAGGTACGTTGGCGAAAAGGCAGCAGCGCGCTGTGGTGCGGAGGATTGGAATATACCTGGGAATAATCTCCGCGCACCACAACAACAGAAACCACACTCCGCAACTGAAAACACAGGAATAATGTAGAACTGGAGAGTTTGTTTCCCTTTTCTCTCCTTTATTTATTCTCTCCAATCAAGCAATAATATTAATTAATTTATACATACATACATACATAATTAAAAGAAACGCATCACGTAACAGTGGCCGTGTAAGAGAAGAGAATCCGCCAAAAGGCCAAGAAAGGGTTATAAATACGGGCCTCCGGATCGGGACACCCACTCTGCATTCTGTTAAACCAGCACCTCCCTCCTCCTTCCGTATAAACAGACTGATCGATAGAGAGCGAGAATACATACACAGTAAAAACTGATCGGGACACCCACTCCTTCTCCGGCGGAACCATATATATTCATATCAATCGTCTGTTCCCTCTCCGGCGCGGTGACCGACCAGGCCAGCTTTGTTTCTGTCTCATCAGGTATTTGATTTCACAAATCCTCCTCCTCCTTAATTCCTGTGCGGATTGGTTTGTGTGTGTGTTTAATTATGTAATTAGTTGTTTGCATGCAAAAAAGGTGCCGGCGCTGTCTCTGGCCACGGCTCTTTTTTTCTTCTTCTCCCTCCCTCGCTTTCATTTCTCTTGTTGCTTTTTCAGATTAATATTCCGGATTTTTGCAAGCGTGTGAAATCCCATCGAAAAAGCTCTGATTTTCTTTTAGGTGAATTAATTCAGCGTTCCTTAAGCGATTCGTCCGTAATTTTTTGTTTATCTCTTGTTTGTTAGAAGGTCGATGTTCCGGACCGAATAGGTAATTTAACATAAAGAAGTGAAGGATATACAAGGCGGGCAGAGGCTGTTGTTGTTACACTTGTGAACATGCATGAATGGGTGCAATTAATGCAACAACAACAGAAAAAATGACAATTTTCCGATTTTGATTGATTGATTGCTGAAAAAACCCAATAGAAAGTGTTAACATTTAAAGACGACGATGCCACGTCTGCAAACACGCTAAGCTAATTGTTATCCATCTGGTTCTCCATATTTAATTTTCTTTCAATAATAAAAATCCATAATTTCGATAAATTCCTGGAGATATTTAGCCTTTATTGTAGGATCAAGGGCCTGATCTCAGTTATTTAGGGATGACAATTTCGACCTGACCCGATTTACCCGACCTGTTTGACCTGTTTTGGGGCGGGGCGGGCATGGGTACCTCTCATCGACCCGACCTGCCCTGACCCGCCCCATTCTCGACCCGTTCTTGCCTAAATATAATATTAGTTAAATTACTTAAGATTTTCTTCTTATTACATTATATTTTAGCTATAATAAAGTTGTAAATAAGGAAAACCTCAATTTCTTCAATAATTTAACTACATTTTATCATATTATGGTTTCTTTCTTGGTCTTTCAATGAAAAGAACGAATATTTCTAATGTTTTTCACATAAATTACATATCCAATGGGTCGACCTGCCCCGACCCACGCCCCGTGATAAATTACCCGACCTGGACCCGACCTGCCATGGGGCGGATACCCGCCTCGAACCTGCCACATTGCCATTCCTACAGTTATTTGAGTTGACCCCTTCATTATCTCATCTCAATCCCCTAAAATCCTCGCCTTCTGTTCAACTTTCTATTTATCTACGTCTCTAATTTTGATTTCTATTTATAGGAAATAGTAAATAGTAGCCAAATACTAGGCAACCTCAGTAAGTACTCCCAAATTCGTAACGGATTTCCAAATTCGATTCGAAGCCCAATGATTTCCGCTCCCAAAATAGAAAAAATAGAGACGCAACTGTGATCATTACGAATCCCAGGCTGTAAAACTAATCTACCTAGGTGGTCGAAACGTTTCATTTGTCCACTCGTGACACTTCAATTCTTCCCATTTTGGACTGGAACAGGTCAGAAACAGGTCAGAGGTCCTGAGCCATGGCGGGGGACTTGCAGGTTCTGAACGCCCTGGACGTGGCGAAGACGCAGTGGTACCACTTCACGGCGGTGATCATCGCCGGGATGGGATTCTTCACCGACGCCTACGACCTCTTCTGCATCTCCCTCGTCACCAAGCTCCTCGGGCGCATCTACTACCACGTCGACGGCGCACCCAAGCCGGGCTCCCTCCCGCCCAACGTCGCCGCCGCGGTCAACGGCGTCGCGCTCTGCGGCACCCTGGCGGGGCAGCTCTTCTTCGGGTGGCTGGGGGACAAGCTGGGGAGGAAGAAGGTGTACGGCCTCACCCTGATGCTGATGGTGATCTGCTCCGTCGCGTCGGGGCTCTCGTTCGGGCACGAGCCCAAGTCCGTGATGGCCACGCTCTGCTTCTTCCGCTTCTGGCTCGGGTTCGGGATCGGCGGCGACTACCCGCTCTCCGCCACCATCATGTCCGAGTACGCCAACAAGAAGACACGCGGCGCGTTCATCGCCGCCGTCTTCGCGATGCAGGGGTTCGGCATCCTCTCCGGCGGTGTCTTCGCCATCATCATCTCCTCCGCCTTCAACTTCTGGTTCAGGGCCCCGCCCTACGAGGTCGACCCCGCCGCCTCCACCGTACCGCAGGCCGACTTCGTCTGGCGGATCATCCTCATGGTCGGCGCTCTGCCGGCTCTGATGACGTACTACTGGCGGATGAAGATGCCGGAGACCGCGCGGTACACCGCCCTGGTCGCCAAGGACGTGGGGCGCGCCAACAAGGACATGGCCAAGGTGCTGGACACGGAGATCGAGGCGGCCGTGGTGGAGCAGAAGCCGCCGGCAGCGGAGGAGGAGGAGATTATTGCGAGCCGCCGCCAACAACAGCAGCAGGGGTACGGTCTCTTCTCCCGCGAATTCCTCCGGCGGCACGGGACCCACCTGCTGGGGACCACCACCACGTGGTTCCTGCTGGACATCGCCTTCTACAGCCAGAACCTGTTCCAGAAGGACATCTTCAGCGCCGTGGGGTGGATCCCGCCGCCGCAGACCATGAACGCGATCCAGGAGGTGTACAGGATCGCCAGGGCCCAGACGCTGATCGCGATGGTCAGCACGGTGCCGGGTTACTGGTTCACGGTGGTGCTGATCGACGTGATCGGCAGGTTCGCCATCCAGCTGATCGGGTTCTTCTTCATGACGGTGTTCATGTTCGCCCTGGCCATCCCGTACGACCACTGGAGGCAGAGCGGCAACCGCATCTGGTTCGTGGTGCTGTACGCGCTGACCTTCTTCTTCGCCAACTTCGGCCCCAACGCGACGACGTTCGTGGTCCCCGCGGAGATATTCCCGGCGCGGGTGAGGTCGACGTGCCACGGGATATCGGCGGCGTCCGGGAAGCTCGGGGCGATCGTGGGGGCGTTCGGGTTCCTGTATCTGGCGCAGGATCAGGACAAGGCCAAGGCGGATGCAGGTTACCCGGCCGGGATCGGGGTGAGGAACTCGCTCATTGTGTTGGGATTCGTCAACTTGCTGGGGCTGCTGTTCACGTTCTTGGTGCCGGAATCCAAAGGGAAGTCGTTGGAGGAGATGTCTGGAGAGCAGGAGGATGACGACTCTGCTTCCAACAACAACAATAATAGGACTGTTCCAGTCGTTTAGGCGGAAAGCTTTTAGATCATTTCAGTTCTAGTTGCAGACACGGATCTTGTTGAGTGAGTGAATTTGAGCTTTTTTTTAAGAAAACAAATATGCTATGGAGGGGAATAACTTGAAAATGCCCGGGTTTGAGTAAGTTATGTATGTGTCCTTTGTGTGTGTTGTTTGTTCCCTTCCTCTTTGGTTTGAGGATTAGATGGCCCTTTGGGATTTGTAGTAGCTAGCAAATTTTTATTTGTAGCGATTTCTCTTTTAACATACGGGGAGATCGAAGTGTTTAAAGTTGGAGTGTTTTGTAGTTGTGGTGTGTTATATATACTAGAAACAAAACCCGCGGTAATTAGCACTTTCGTGATCAATGGATGGCCAGTTTAGGACACTGTGGAATCAGGGGTATGTAGTATTGTCTGAGGTAAGGAGGTGGAGACCTATGTATGTGTCAGTTCCATCTCGTAATCAATACTAGCAAAGACCCGCTCGCTACGCTTCGCGATGAGTAGTCATCATCATACTAATAGATATATGGTGTAAATAGGAAAATAATTATGTCATTAGAACTATAATGTTAATTTATTTTGTTTCTTGTCCATGAATCTGTTCATCAAGTTCCTCTCACTCTTGTTTAACAATTGATACAACATTCATTTGTACAATAGATGGCCTGACTCTAAAGAAAATACAATGTTCGAAAGATACTATATTAGGGTCGAGCTAAAAATGAGGCAAGAAATCATACAACATTCATGCTTTCGGTACATTCAATCCCATTCTAGAAAATGATCACTTTCCTATGCTCTTCTTCCCCATCATTTCTCTAAACAGCTCAAGTGCATAGTCTTGCTAACATGTCTCCTATAATTGATCAATGATTATTTCGTATGAAGATGTATATCGACAAAGAAAACCAATTTTATGAAGCTATGAAGATGTATATCGTCGGCTTACGTGCTAGCTCACAGGCAGACCAGTGAAATCATCAGCATTCACTAATTAAATATACTAAAACTTACCCGTTCGGTTACGCTTTGCGAGTGAAAGTAGTCATTGTAAACATATCATGCAAAAGAATTAGCAAAATGTATCTGATTAAATACATGACCCTAAGATCCATGAAGCATGCATCATTTGAAGGCTTGAAATTGGGGCTAATAAGTATGCAGAGCTGATACAGTATTCTGAAAGCCAAGCGTGAAATTAGTGCGCGGCTACAAAAACACCAAGCAAGAAAAAGTCAAAACAATCCAGTTTCTACAGTTTCAAAAATGGACTTGCAAGTCAAGGAAATAGCTTGGACCATCAGTTTCTAGGTGTCCAAATGGAGATCATATAATTAGTATGCTAAACACACATGCATTAAACCATAAACAGAGGGAAGGTGCAGTAACAGTAACCTGGTAAATTAGGTATGACATCAATGATCATTGCAGAGGAGAAAGTTGCCAAAATGGATCTCCATATTGCTTTAAGGTGGTAAATCCTAAAGGTCACTGCTTTGTAACAGTAACACCACAGCCTAATAGGCACACCAACATCCATTGATCAAGAGGTGAAATCAAAAGGAGATTCTCTGGAATGAGGCTCATCAAAGTAAAAATAACACAAAAGTTATACTTAAATAGAAAGGGCAGAAGTCTGAATCCAGCAAGAAAAAAATTTGTTAAGTCAAAGAAAGTAAACATAACTCGATCACAATGGCGCCCTGCCAATGTACACAGAAAATGCAGCAGCTGGTCATCCATTTCAAACCTTAACTATCCATAGAAATGCATACATATATTAAGATATACATATATATATAGAAGTGTACAATTAATCCAAAAGAAAGGTAAACACAGATTGAGTGGATCTCAGAAGTACTCGATTTACTTTGATTTGGCAAACTCGTGTCAAGATCAGGCTTGTCTCTTAGAGCAAACTGTAAAAACGAAAAAACACCAGAGAAAATAAACAAATCAAAGTTGAGTAAACAAAGGCTGAACACAAATTCACAAAACAAAAGGGAAATATGAGCGAAATCCCTTCCATTGGGTATGCAAGCACTCATTACCTGTTCTTTCTCGATATGAGTAACCAATCTTCTTGCATTAAACAATTTTCACTACAGGCAGCACACAATGTGAATATATCAGGTAAAACTTGTTAGTCCTTTTAGACAGTAGCATAAGAATAACAAAATAGATGCATGTCAGCAAGTGTGGTACTCAAAGAAAAATAATGCGGATTTTTTGCTATCTTTAAATCTGATATCCGCATAATAGAGAGAAAGCATGATACCAAGATAATGGTGTAAATATCAAGTGAATTTGGACTACAAAGGATTAGATAGTTTTCAGGACTTTACATAATCGTTCTTTACTAAACATTTGGTGAGTTTCTACTGTAAGGCGTCTTTTAATTTGTTCAGGTATCCATATAAGTTTCCAATGATTCGAAGGGCAATGTAAAGAATACAGCTTCACTAACTTAACCTTGTCATGAGTTTCTACTGTGAGCTACATCTGTTCTATTTGGAGAGTTTCTGAAATGTGCCATGTGGAAGGTAAAACACCCCAAATTGGCTCAATCTTAACCTGCAAACCATTGAGCAGTTTAGCAGTTAGCACCTATAGGAAGAGGATAAAGCATGGTCGGGGAAAACCAAAAAGCTATAGATTGCTGTGTAAGGATACAAAAGCAACAATTTCACTAATGGTATAAGAACACAAACCTTAATCAAAGAGGGACCAGCTCTTATCCAATTTTATATGCGGCTTTAAACATAATGGAGAAGCATAAATAATTCATGTTGGCTATCATGAAAGAACATCTAAATTCTAATGCTTTTTCCAAAGAACAATTCCTCCCTTTAAAAATGTATATGTTCTGTTCCGGGGGTTCCCTTTCCTGTATGTTAGCATGCGGTTATTATGGGTATTGGTATTGGTCAAGGATGAGTTGGGAGAAAATCTTGAAAGCACAGGGGCTGGAATCAGAGAGAATACCTGGGTTTAGCAGTGAGTTTTAGAGGTGGGATTCAACCCAGGAGTTTCGGAGGGGGAGCCAAATTCCGGCGCAGCAAGTCCCAAACTAATTCTTTCCAGTCAACGAACCCCAAATTTCTTATTTTGTCTCGCTGGGAGAGTACCCAAACATTTTCCGCTACTCACCAAACACTATCGGCGGAATCTAAAACTCTCGGCGGAATCCCAGGTTTGCTGCTCTCTGTCATACCGGCCCCCTGAATTACCTTGAAATCGCCGCCCCATCAACTGTGTCCACACCCGCCGTCAGCAGCTACCGCTGGAGTTTCCCTTTGCTGCATCTAGTGCGTTCCTTCCCCTAATCTCGCCGTTAACTCCTGGATTGGCTCTCTACCAATCTACAATCAACTCATTTGTAACCAAATTAGGGGAGGTAGATGAATATTTTGCTGGTACCATGCCGCGCCGAAATCAACCTCCATATCTCTTCTTAACGTCTTCCCTCTTGCTGGTTCCATCTCAAATTCTGACCCATCAACCCAGAGATCCCTTCTTCTCTCTCGCCGGAATCCCACCCGACCGTGCTCCTAGGCAAACGAAACCCCATCAGGTACCGTCCCCGGCAACTCCGCCGATGTCCACACCCGCAGGGACTCCGCCGTTCTCGCTTACCACAGAGCTCGGTCAACGATGTCGAGGAACCTTGCTCGCCATCGTAGGGATGCCACCGCCCCACCCGCTGTCGACGGCGGAGCGCCGGCATGGTTGGACCATCGTGTAGCTTTGCGGGGCATCGCTGCGATTTCAGGATCTAGGGTTAGAGAGCTGAGATTGGAAAGGGGTTGGGCTACTAGAAAGTAATGCAGCAGCGTACCTGGGAGTTTGGGACTCGGCTGGAGGTTGAATTCCGCCGAATAACTTTCGTGGTGGGAGTAAAAGCTGTGGGAGGGATGGGCTGCGTGTGTGAAAAGGAGTCTTCCAAGCAAAGAAGAACGAATGACCCATAGCGATTTCCGAGGAGGAATCGGGAGTTGGAGCGTTCTGGGTGGCGTGCATCGGCGTATGACCAGGGAATTTCGGGCGCCTGTGCCGGTGTTGAGGAGACGGTACGAAAGAAAGGGTCTCTGCGTGTCATAGAGGAGAAGCGAACGACAGGCAGCTGCAGGGGAGGAACCCGGTTGTCCGATGGGCAAAACCCAAAACCTCTGATTCGCACATGGCGCGTTGGGTATTGAGGCGTTCCAAGTGTCTCTGTGAGTAAGGAAATAGACCAACGTGGCCCATTCAGGTGGAAACGGGTGGAAGAAGCCCACTCGCAGATGGTAACCGTGTGGGCCACTAATGAACAGTACCCAAAACTGTGGCTTTTATATACCAAAATGGGGTGCAGATTGTCTAAGCTAAACTGCAACCTATACATGTGTAAGTTCCATTTTCTAATCAATATGAGCCTGAGATTGTCTAAGCTAAATTGCAAGCAGATGTAACAGTTTGCCAGGCATTTTCAATGGCTGGGGAAAGACATATACGTGCCATAGCATTGATATTTCATAAGCACAGTGCAGCAAGACAATGGGAACAAAACATAATTTTTTCATGGCCTGGGAAACAATGAGAATCAACACTGAATTACAGGTGCAAGAACTGCAACCAAATAAACTTAATGAGTATACTGATAATCGTATGCAGAAAAGCTATACTGCCTACACTGGAAATAAAGCTTCACTGCATACAGTCCAGCAGAAACCTATGACGTGCACACGCTATAGCTGAAGAACAACAAATAGCATGATCATGAAGTCATTGGGATGTTAGCAATGACAGTACAAAAGGCATTTCTACAATGGAGTTTGCTGATCGTGACGAATGACCAGAAGAATTCCTGAAACTCCACGGAACATCTGCAGCCTCCTTATATCTGTGGACAACTACAGAACGTTTAGTCTAAGCCAATTAACAGCCCTGACCTGTAATGGAAAAGAATTGTTCCCACACAGAACACCGTACTTGATTGTAGGAACTAAATATGGGGATTGTTTTGTAATAAAGTGGGAACCTGGTTTTCTTTCAGTAAAGATCAACCTGCTGCATGAAAATGTGAACTTGCTTGTCTACTCCTGATAATTTTCTCGGCTTTCCTCTGTGCCAGCAGGTTCTATTAAAAGTAAATGCTATAAGGATATGTGTGGCAGTAAGTGTAGGAAAATGCTAATGGTGAAGGGAAGATATAATGAGAAGGTACCAAGGATTATGAGTTCAGAATAGAGTTCGTTGTAGACAACGTTCTTAGTGCAGTTATAGGGCAATTTATCTTCGTTGTGAATGAGGAATCTTAACCCTGCTGCAGATCGCACCCGTGAAACAGCTACATATAACTGGCCATGGCTGAAAACAGGTTTTGGTAAGAAGACCCCTGCTCTTTCGAGAGTCTGTCCCTGACTCTTGTTGATTGTCATGGCGTAACAAAGTCGCACCGGAAACTGTCTCCTCTTCATTGTGAAGGGCCATTTGTGGTCACTAAAGTTCAGAGCAATTCTTGGTATAGCCACTACTGTGCCCTCGAAAGTACTAGTGAGTGTAATTCCTTTAATGACATTTGTGCCAAGCTGAACAACCATCAATCGTGTCCCATTACACATTCCAGCAGGTGGATCTATGTTTCGGAGCAACATGATGGGTGTATACAATTTAAGAGCTATCTCATGCTCAGGCATTCTATTGAAGGATAGTGAATTGAGGAACTCAATGGGATACAAAGTATCTGTGTCTGCATTGTCCGTTGATTCAGTGCACAAACTGTCGTTGCTGTAGTATATTTGTGTTTCTTCTGGAATGCACGAAAGAACAGCAGCATTGATCCTAGAAACTGTTTCATTTGTTGGCGTTATGACAGCACGGTTTTTGAGGTAGGAAACTGACCTGTACGATTGTAGTAGTCCTTGGAAAACAAATTCAACAATTGGTTCAATGGAGTCTCCATTTGGTGGCAGAACCAGGTATTCAGGTATGTTGATCCAAGCCTTTTCGGAAACATCATCGAAGGAGGCAACAGGTGCAGTTCCATTACCCACGCTCAGAACCCATTGTGGAAATGTGAGGCTTTCAAAAATGGTGTTTTCGTTAATTGCATCTTGGTTGATGCGCATGTTTTGATGCAAACAGAGAAGACAGCAGCGCATCCATAACGGAGATCGAACGATAGATGCATTAAGTGTTTCCTCGCGCCCACCTCCTGCCACCACCGGCAGAATCTGTCTGAAATCACCGCCCAAGAGCACAGTTTTCCCACCAAATGATTTAAAATCATTTCCACTGCAAGGCATATCCATGACATCGCATAAGGTTTTGTTCAGGGCTTCAAAGCAAAACCGGTGTGTCATTGGTGCATCATCCCAAACAATGAGTGAGGTTTGCTGTAATAATTCGGCCAGTTGAGTACCCTTTTTAACCTTGCAATTGGAAAAGCAATCGATATCAATTGGAATCTTGAACCTGGAGTGGCCTGTTGATCCATCAGGTAGTAAAGTGGCTGCAATGCCTGAGGATGCAACGACCAAGACAATCCGTTGTTGGCTTCGCAAGCTTTGCAATTATTGTATTGTATAAGTATGTTTTCCCTGTGCCACCATGTCCATATAGGAAGAAAAATTTCTCCAAACCTTGTTCAACCGAAGTCATGATACTGTGATATGCATCTTGCTGGCCGCGATTCAATGCTGAAAAGATTTCATCTGCTAAGCGTTTTTGCATGCATACGTCATAATTAAGCTGCTCGCATATCAATCTGTTGGAAACCAGTGAGTGAGCATAATCTGTGGGTTGTGGCAGGCCAAAATCAGCTAGTGACCTAAAATGGCTATGCAACAGAGTCTCAATATGTTTGATCACTTGATTTTTCAAATACTCATCTGGTGCCTGGAAGTGTTGGAGGTTCAGACCGCGCCCTGCTTGGTAGGAAAAATCATCTGCGAAGAGTTTCCAATTGGTCTCGAAAAGCTTTCCTGGGTCAGCAACCTCGGAGTGAACCAATATCATGACAAATAACGACCTTAGTAAGGCTGGCATTCCCCACTGCCTGACCTTAATCATGGTTGCCTCTGGCTCTCCATCGTCTATCAGGAATCCCCTCAACATGCATGCTTCTTTGTAGTCCTTGCACAGCTTACCATTCACTGTCATGAGGTCCTCGAAGCTAGTAGGGCCAGGTACTTTTGTCAGTAACATGCGTAAAAAGTATACATCAGTTGTGCCGGGTGGGATGAAAATTATGCGGCCAATCACATTTCCCTGCTTGCGTTTGGACCAGTGCTTTGGTCGAACATGAAACGTATAAGCAGTAGGTATATCAGCATACATCAAAGACCTAGCTTCTGGATCCTTGCGGTTCAGCATAAAATATTCAGTCAACATTGTCTTTCCCTTTTCTGGATCCTCAACAACGGATTGCAAAGATGCATCTGGGTTATATGCAACTGATTGCTGGTCTTTCAAGTGGACAGGAAGACATACAACAGCTGGTGACCGCTCATGTATAGGGAACTCATAAATCCTCCACGTCGCTTCAAATGAGTACAGGACACGGCAGTCAAGATACTGTTTTATCTCGTCACGCGGTTCTGTCGACGGACCTTTCAAGGTCGCGTGCTGCTGCTCGGGACAGTTTTCAGCAACAGCTGTAGCACGATCATGACCCTTTGTCACATACTTGATATTTAATGAGTCTTCCCTTGTGGCAGATTTCAACATTAATGTGTGCCTGAAACATGACCAAAAGATTTTGGTTGTAAGGGACCACGTGACGATTATCCAGGATGCCAGTTCTTTTGTCAAAAGTGCGACCATCATTGCGACGTCGATACACAATGTAACCATTATGATCATAGGTAGTTGTTGAGTTACAGGATTTTGGGAAGAATTTCTTGCACTTTCCTTATATCATACATGGCGATCGTTGGTTGGCCTGGCCACAGGGTCCATGGAGCATGAACTTAGTAACAGTTGCATATCCAAACAGGTCCTTCTCTGGATCTGGAAGCTCTGTGGATATTATTGCATCAATGGCTTCTGTTGTTTTTAATTTGTCAGCTTCCTGTAGCCAAACTAATAAATGAACATGCGGCAGACCCCGTTTTGGAACTCTATTGTGTGTATATCTGTATGAAAAAACAGCAGTCGGACATCTCTGAGATTTTATTTCCAGTAGGAGTGGAGGTTCGTGCGAAAATGTTAATAACCCACGCACTCTCTAACCTAGTTAGTCATGAGAGTGATGCACAGCTAGAGCAACAATTACTATAAACTATTTTCCAAGTGTTTAGATTGCTTTTGTGTGGGGTTTTTATGGAGTAACAATGCATTTTGCAATCACTCTCTAACCCAGCGTAACTTGATATGATCACTATGTACTGACCTGCAATGCATCTCCCAAAAAATTGGTGGCGGTGGATTTGTTCCTTCAGAGCAAGAACCTTCATCCTGAAGACACGTACAACAATGTCTGGTTTATCTTCAGGTTTGAGGCCAACAACCTGCTCAAAAGCTTTGGTAATTTCTGGCCATTGCGCATTGCAGGTAAACGTTATAAAGAGGTCCGGGTTTCCAATGCGTCTACAGATTGCCATGGCATCAAGATATTGGTGCTTCATGTATCGAGGCCCACCCGTATATGTTGCCGGTAGAATTGTACCAAGTCCCTTCCCAGTTGTGTCGCCCTTATTGTAAGCATCACAAAGGCCCTTATATAGATCAGCACGTAGAAGTTTTTGGTTTTTCCGCAGGAAGTTCAATCGATTCTGCTCAATAGTTGAGAATGCGTCGACACAGTAGTGTTGCAAGGCCTTCCCACCTCACATTAGACTTTGACCCTCAGACTGACGATGCTGCAATCTAAATGCGTGAAACTCTCTCTCAGTGACATTCTTTCTTTTTGCATTAGTCGAGCTGTGGATTTGGTTGCATTTGATTCCCAAGTGGAACCCATCCTCCCCATATGGAAACAGTACCGGGAACTGCAGGGCATGGAATTTGGGATTCAAGCTTACAATTCGTTGCAATCCTTCAGCTCGGTGGTTGATAATTATGTCTCTATCGCCATCCTCGGCATTAAAGTCACCAGGTATAAGCCCTGCAATATCAGTTCCAGTAGGCAAGTCATACTGTCGGTTTCCCTCTTCTCGATTGCCAGCTATTCTAAGTCGAAGATTGTGGTTAGCTGGATCCTGAACCTCCCGAGCAACTCGCCGAAAGGTTTTCACCAGTTCATTTGTTTGATCAAACATCTTGATCAAACCATCGACAATATGAGGCCTAAGAGCAAGGTTGGTGGATGAAAAGTTGGAGAGCCGATCGCCAACTTCATCATCAGTGTCAAACACATACAGCTGCGAGAACCGGGCCTTTCTCCCTTCAGGAGGCAGCAAAGAACCCATGTGATGGTAGTTCGCCCCACAAATGACAAAAGAATATGGACCTGAGGAGTTTGTTACCCGTCGGTCCAGCTTTGCTCCAGTGGAGCTCATTGAGAACATGGCGTTGTAGGGCCGAACCTCTTTGCGGAAATGCTTTGCATCTGGCCCTCCATTTACATCCAGAAGGTTGTCAAGAAACGATGGAGTATGCTTTAATAAAGGAATAGAAACCTTGTCGTGGTTGCAGCAGAGGGAAAATATCGGCATTGTAGTGTTGCGGTGTCGTTCAAGACGTTCAGCATACCAGAACATAGCTCCACAATATGGGCAGGCACACTCTGGAAGGCCAAAATCAATAACATTGTCGTTCCAGGTCTGCGTGGGTGGATGCAATGGGTGGTCAGCACCGACATTTGGATGATCTGAACTAATGTTCTTTTTCCTCCGTTTCCGTGCAACTCTAGTGTCTGACATGTCGATTTCCTCCGACTCTTTGCCTGGAAGCGAGTATGAACCATGACTTTGTATGTCAGGGCCTGCAAGAAGGTCTGCTGATTCATTTACACATGATGTCTCCCCGACTAAAGAACTAAAGTGTTGTGGAGTGTTCATGGGCTTGCGTATTCGCCGATCAATTTTGACCGGTGTGGAACTGTACGGAAGCGGACTAACGACATTATTCTTTTGCTTTGTGGGAGAGGCAAAATCCGACTCGTCAGAGGCCCTTTGCACTGCTCTAGTCATAGGATGTGTATCGATGTCGAAATTGAGTTACTGCAGAAACAGGCGAGTGCATGAAGTGAACACAAACACAAAACAACACAGTCGAGAAAGGTGAATAACATATTCAAACATCGATACAGTCATATAGATTGAGCAGACCAAACACATGTGTGGGTTGTAACTTTTAAGGAAGACCTGAATTGCAATAACATGGTCTGTCAGTTAATCACAGTTAAAGTAGAACAAAAAATACCATAATACAAGAAACTTTATGAGTGGTGAAATATTCTCAAACGTAAGGCTATGCGTTGCAGATCCTCCAACACATAATCGGAACAGAGTGCATGCATAAGTGTGTATGAACTTAATCGCAGCGTTTGCAACAGGTGTGGGGAACGCTCATGATACCATGAGTGATTTTCAAACTGAATGAAAGAGGAAGAGTTACTAAACATGATCAGACAACACAAAAGAAAAGCTATGGAACCTTTCATGAAGCCTTTCTCCTGGCTTGATAGTTGCTACCTTTCAATGGAGTGAGATTGCAGGCGATGAGAGTGAAGATCCGACTGTCAATAGGCCAATCTTTCTGGTAAGGAAATAGAAAGAAAGGGATCTTAGAAAGCCAAACATTAAATCAATTATCTCCTCCGAACCCATAGACACAATAGGTATTAAGATACTTAAGAAGCTCCAAGATAACAATTCCACATCATATTGTAATACATAAAGAATTACCTGCAAAAGGAGCTCACCACTTCCGTAACTCAGGAGTAGCTAAAATCTGCAGAATGAGGAACTGAGTTAGAGCATGGTAGGCATTGAAAGAAGACTCAGTGTGAGATTGTAGAAGGTAGGTAAGATTTGAAAAGTGTCCAAGGATCCCATGCTGTTAGTTTAAGAGATTGGGGTCCATGAGGCAGGCAAACAAATCAATCATGCCTATACCTTCTGTCAGTGCACATACTAATCCTTCAAGCAATCGAAAGCATGGTCAAGCAACCACCATTTTTTTCTGTGCAGAATTGGAAACAATAATATATTCATAAACTTGTCTGATGAGTTACACGGAAATGCAACATGTGATTTAGCAATGAAGAAACTGGCAGTTGGTGGGCCTTTCAAGATCTAACGAAAAACCATGTGATTCAATTTGTTGTACTGGCCAGGGAAGCAGATCACAATGGAAGGTAAATCTGGAAGAAAATTCGAATAGTCATAGTACTTAAAGGAAATTATCCATTACACAACTAACAACTACTAAATAATAATTGTATGACAAAAGAGCCATTGTTCAACAGAAGTTGGGAACAAAGCATTGGACAATAGCATTGCACAATCCGAGCGTGCAATTCTGCAGAAGAAACTGCATGGAAAAAGACTGAAATCACGACAAAAGGCAGACTCATCCTCGGAGGAAGGGGTGAACGTAGTGTTTGCCGTGAAACCGAGTAGACGGTCGTTGGAGCAGGATACCCACCGCCTCTTTGCTTCGCGCTGGGAAAACTTCGCCACGTAGTAAACCGTTCCAACAGCAAGAGCTTCGCCCAATTGTGCCGAGAGCTGCCTCGGCGCGAGACCCCAGCACCCCCTGCAAAGCACCGCCGTTTCAGAATGAGAACCAGGAAAGTAATTTTTTTGCAGAAGCAAAAAACCCAAAAGCTCACCAGTTCATCAGTCCACAATGTCGAGTGTTCGTAGAACCCGTCGGGGCGGCAGGGGTTTCCAGCCAACCATGTATGCAGCAGGCGCAATTTCAAAACGGGAGCTTCGTCAGTCCAAGCAAGTTCGGAAAGGACAACATAAGCCATGGTGGCAACTGCAACAGGAATATGAATCTGCAAGTACGCAAGAATTGGCCCGAGATTAGGGAGGAGTCGAAACTGGAATTGGAAGAGGAGATAGAGCCGAAGCAATCAATTTGGTGAGGGCAGGGGAAAGCCATCAATTGGGCAAGTGGTGTACCGGTTGCGTGTAGAGGCCTTGGGCAGCGATGGGGTGGTGCAGAGAAGTGATGGAGGGATAAGGGGCAAGCACAGTAGTGGCATACGGCTGGTAGGGGAGCGGCATGGTTGTCAGCGGGATTTGAGGAAGAAGCGGCAAGGCAAAGCATTTGGGTGGGGAAGGTTTCTCTCGCGAAGAGTTTGATAGGCGCTAGAAGACAGGAAGTGATACAGTAATGGGAAAAAGTGTACCCAACTTTTATGTATAGAGAGAATTAGGTAAATGATTTAAGTAATCACTCTAATGTTACGACCTATCACGAAGGGCCGGGAAAATAGACTAAACCGTTTGAAAACTTATGGTCCAAATCAGATCGTATAGTTTGATATGGACCGTAGACCGTTAAGTATGGTCTAGTCTGGTCTATGCTCTGTATTATATGATGTTTTAATCTCTTGGTCTAGTATGGTCTACACCACGGTTTACCGTACCAAACCGTGGAACTGGGGATGACAATCAAACACATGACCGTGGGTACCTGACCGCCCCCAACCCAGTCAAAGCGGGGAATCCCCGCTTTAACTGGGTATGGGTAAAACTCGCAAAATATTTGATGGGTATAGGGGTATGGTTTTAGCCTCCCCCATCCCATTGACATACCCATACCCGCCCTAGCAATATTATTTGTTCACATATTAAGAATACATGGATCAAATAGTAATCTATCAATTATAGTGAAGGTAACTCAACAAAATAATTAGTAGAATTGCAATTGAGTGGCCATCTAAATCAAAACCTAATTCATTTGCTTCAACTCTCCCTTCACTTTTTCCCTCGTATTAACAAGATTGTATTATGTTAGTTAGACGTATTTCTTAGTAGAAGTATTAGAGATAGAGAATAATGATTTGTATTACATTGTGCTCTATCTTATTGATAAATTGATGTTTCAGGATAAGATGCCTTGAACCATATTAGATGATTGTCACTTTGTCGACTTCATGATATAGTAGGTGTGTTTAATATTATAATTGAAAATTTTAAAGTAAATTCTAGGTATTATAATGTTGCATGTATGGGGAATGTATTATCCATGGGTACCTGAAACCCACAGGTATGAAGATGGTTTACAAAACCTTCTCCCGCATGAATATGGGGTGGGTATGGGTTTAGATATTTGAAAGCGGGGATGGGGATGGTTAGCCAAACCCGCCCCATTGACATCCCTACGTGGAACCAGCCGTCTTCTCAATACATGTTAGATACCGACTCAACCACTCTCCCAACTCCCACAACGATACCCAAGTCTCGTTCATCCCCTTCTGCAAACTCCACACCTTTGTACTCACCTCCTTTATCCCCTCTTCCAATTCATCCGTCACGATAGCTGCCGTCTTTCGGGTCGGGCACACTTAGAGGGGTGTCCTTGTCCTCCACAACGGTAACCCTTATCTCCCGCTGGCTTAGCGTACGGGTGTCCCTTTATTCACGTTGGAACTTCCAGCTCCATTGTTTACCTTCGTAGCTGGGTGGGGATCTTGAGAACCGACAACCTTTTCTCTATCAGGTGCGATCTCAGTGATTCCCGCTGGTGGGAAACGGCGAAAAGGTGGGAAGGATTTAGGAGTCTTCTCCATTAGTTCAGCTTTCAGTGCCAACGTGGAAGCTTCATATACGGTCCAAACAGTCTGTAACCCCCTCTTCTCCTGGATCGAGCCCTTCAACCCATTGATATATCGAGCAACCTTTTATCCTTCCGTCACTCCTAACTCATTGCGTTCAGCAAAACGCAAGAATTCAGTGGTGTATTTAGTTACACTTCTTCTTCCTTGCACGCAATCAAGGTACATCTTGTATAGAATCTGCTCATAATCCTCCGGAAGTAAACGCTCCATCAGCTGTTTCATCCGCATCCATGATCGGATGGGAGCCTTTCGTTGGCGTCGTCGTTGAACGACCAGTTTATCCCACCACACAGATGCAGTGCTCTTCAACCTGACAGTCATCATCTTAATTTGCTTACTTTCAGGTACCTCCATGACGTCAAAAAAAAAAAAACGATCGACGTCGATCTGCCAGTCTAGGAATTCCTCGACTCCCATGGTTTCGTAGAACAATGGAATATTGTCCTTCACTCGATAGTCATTGCGGTTTTGTCGGTCATCATCATCATGATCCTGGTCCCCATCCTGGACCTCTTCATCTGAACCAGAATCGGAATCGGGTTGAGCACCGCGCGCCCCCCGGGATGTTCTTCACGCTCGACTCTCCTGCCTCTCTCCCTCCTGTTCTGATTGTTGTTCACCTGTGCCGCCAAATTCGTCACTTGCGTTGTCAAGGTTGTGATCACCGTGGTAAAAGCTGTGGTGATAGCCTCGATGTCCGCGCGTGTGCCCGGTTGATCTCCCATGGCTGTGCAAGCTTAGAAAAGAGACAGGAGAAAGCCTGCTCTGATACCACCTGACGCAGTCAGAAACCACACGAATTCAATCAACGCTTGAATTCTAAAGAACGTATAAGCTTGCCAGCTACAAGCTTGGAAAGAAAATCCAGAATCCACTGGGAACAGCCGAACAGCAAACCCTTAGGTTTAGTTTTGATTTCGAATAATAGTTGCCCTCTTCCTACAACAATCAAAGCCTTAAATAGACAAACTCAACTACTCTATCTGATTGTGTTTAGGACTACCCTATCCGATTGTGTTTAGGACTTAAAGAAAATACTAAAAGTAATTGAAAACAAACTAATAATAAAAATAATTGCAACAACCAATCTTCGTCAACTCTGCACTCCTCAGGCCTCCAACCGAGCTGCTTCCTCCAACCGAGCGGCTTCATCAATCTGCCCAGTAATCCTCGCTGTATCAACAAAGCTCGAATAATAAATAATATTAAACAAATATATGCAAAGAGAAATAGTAATCTACCACTTTTTGTAAAAATAACAAAAAATAAAACATACCGCCCATCGGGCAGGCACATAACTAGTTGTATTTAAAGTAATAGTATTATCACTCCCCTTATCAGCTTTTCATTTCTAGTATTGCATATAAGAAGAAAGACCTAAGTCACATCAACGCCCCCTGTTCAGTGGATTGACAAAAAGCTCCTGATTCACAATTGAAGAATGAATTGATCAAAACTTATGGTTCATGCCACGACTTTGTCGAAGAATTGGCAGGGCAACACGCGTAGGACAAGGGTCGCTATTGTCGAAGATGATGAACTCGCAGCCGCGGGAAAAGAGCACTACTACTATGCTATATAGTATTGGTACTTTAATGTACAACTTGAAATTGTACCATAACATTAAATGTATAAGTTTAGGTTGTACCATTAAGGAATTTGTATCATTATGTTATGCTATAACTTTACAACTTGAAGTTGTACCATCATATAAAGGTACAAGTTCAAGTTGTACCATAAAAGAATTTGTATAAAAAGTATATGTACAATCTGAAGTTGTACCATAACGTTAAAAGTACAATTTCAAGTTGTACAATAAAGACAAAAATCTATAACACCAATACTATATAGCATTGTAAAATTTCGTGGCGGGAAAATAAGATTAAGGAGGTACATGTTTGGGTATCTCGGATCACTTCACATGAGTTGAGCTGGGATTTAATAGCATAGACCAATAAAATGTTGTAGTCTATAAATACATTAATTAAATATTAATTTTAACAAATCACTCCTTAATACCAATGAGAACAACAAACTCATACTCCTCACTTGTTTACATTTGTACCATTTTGTGTACAATCCACAACAGAACCAGCACAAAGCCGTCTCAACATAACAAACAAATGACACTTGATTATTTTACAGTGAAACTCATTAAACAGCAAGACCATCTTTCTCCGGAATGACATATATGCTACTGTTTGTTCTTACTCTAGCACAACGGCTCCCCTGTATCCCACCGTTCTTCTTCTCCGGATAAAGTCCAGCAGATAAGCAGATGGAGTTAATAAGTGAATCGACCGATTCTCCCCGTCCCCGGCTTTGGTTTCCTCGCAACTATATATATTTTGTTTGATGGTCGTTAACCCCGCCTCATCCTCAAATTTCAGCAAACACCTTGTGGCTAAACCTTGAAAATGGGGAAAGATCAATTGCAGGTCCTGAACGCGCTTGACTCAGCCAAAACACAATGGTACCACTTCACCGCCGTCATCATCGCCGGGATGGGTTTCTTCACGGACGCCTACGATCTCTTCTGCATCTCCCTCGTCACCAAGCTTCTGGGTCGCATTTATTACCACCACAAAGGTGCTCTGAAGCCCGGAATTCTGCCTCCGGGCGTTTCCGCAGCTGTGAATGGAGTGGCACTCTGCGGCACCCTTGCCGGCCAGCTCTTCTTCGGCTGGCTGGGCGACAAACTCGGCAGGAAGAAAGTCTACGGCATGACGCTGATGCTCATGGTGATTTGCTCCGTCGCGTCGGGGCTCTCCATGGGGAAAGACCCCAAAGCAGTAATCACCACGCTCTGCTTCTTCCGATTCTGGCTCGGGTTCGGGATCGGCGGCGATTACCCGCTCTCCGCCACCATAATGTCTGAGTACGCCAACAAGAAGACCAGGGGAGCTTTCATCGCGGCAGTGTTCGCGATGCAGGGGTTCGGCATCCTCGCCGGCGGGCTGTTTGCCATCGTCATCTCCACCTCGTTCAACGCCAGGTTCAAAGCTCCGGCTTACAGAGACAATGCGGACGCCTCGACACCCCCGCAGGCGGATTACGTGTGGCGGATCATTCTAATGGTGGGTGCTCTGCCCGCAGGGCTCACTTACTATTCGAGGATGAAGATGCCGGAAACCGCCCGCTTCACTGCGCTCGTGGCCAAGGATGCGAAGCAGGCTGCGGACGACATGGCGAAAGTTCTGCAACAAGAAATTGAAGCAGAGGAGCACAAAGTGGAGCGAATTGGGGAGGACGAGGCCACCGCGTACGGGCTGTTCTCCAAGGAATTCCTCCGCCGCCACGGAACCCACCTGCTGGGGACGACGACGACTTGGTTCTTGCTGGACATTGCTTTCTACAGCCAGAATCTGTTCCAGAAGGACATCTTCAGCGCGATCGGGTGGATCCCGCAGGCCGAGACGATGAACGCGACCGAGGAAGTGTTCCGAATCGCCAGAGCGCAGACCCTGATCGCGCTCTGCAGCACGGTGCCGGGTTACTGGTTCACGGTGGCGCTGATTGATAAGATTGGGAGGTTCTCGATCCAGCTGATGGGGTTCTTCTTCATGACCGTGTTTATGTTTGCTCTGGCGATCCCATACGACCACTGGACTCACAAGGAGAATCGGATTGGGTTCGTGGTGATGTACTCGCTGACCTTCTTCTTCGCGAATTTCGGACCCAACGCGACGACGTTCGTGGTGCCGGCGGAGATATTCCCGGCGCGGGTGAGGTCGACGTGCCACGGGATATCGTCGGCGTCAGGGAAGCTTGGAGCGATGGTTGGGGCGTTCGGATTCTTGTATCTGGCACAGAACAAGGACAAGTCCAAGGCGGATGCAGGGTACCCTGCGGGGATTGGGGTGAAGAATTCGCTCATTGTGTTGGGCTTCGTCAACTTGCTGGGGCTTCTGTTTACGTTCTTGGTGCCGGAGTCCAAGGGGAAATCGCTGGAAGAGATGTCCGGAGAAAACGAGGAAGACGAGGCTGCAGCTTCTAATGGGAATAGGACTACTGTTACAATTGCTTAGGAGAAGTGGAGAAGAGGTTATGGTTAAAGAAATATTGGAGTAATGATGCTAGACTAGTACTAGACTATAGTCTTAGAATATCCCTAGTTTGGTTGAGCAAGTCGGGTTTATAGGCCGTTTGTGAAATTCAGTTTTAAAATTTTTACCTTTTGATTCTGTTGGAAAACCTCGAAAAGTTTTCTTATCATAATTTCTGTTCCGAACGATATTTGACGACTGTATATCAACTAAAGACTTTGGTTAAATTGGAGTTTTGTGGTGCCATAACAGCACCCGTTCCTACTAATTTGGACCAAATACCAAGCTGGACAGATTAACTGTCGGCACAGGTGCAGTAATTACACCATAGTATTTTCATTAATAATTGTAAAACGCAAAAACAATAGAAATGGAAGTTGCAAACAAGCATAAGCACAAAAGGCTGGAGATTGAGGCCGATGCTCATTTGTTCCGTTTCGACGATCTAGAGAGGCTGACCCCGCTCTCATGTTCAAGGGACACATCATCCTCTGTCTGGTGAGATGGAAGTCCAAAATGGACTAGAGACGCAACCTAGGCGACACGACCTTAATAACAAATCAGTTGGGAGTCGTGCTAGCTCTAAAAGGTTTGTCTTCAAAACGTCGCCTCGGGTAAAGATTGGTGGGTGTGTTCGGCAACAACATAAGAAGGTGTCACCAGGGAAGGCTGCACCTCTTCCTCGGCAGGGTACTAAGGGGAGACAACAGCCTGGTCGGCGCGCCAGGCAGGTTCCATAGCGTCAGCAGGTGGCAGATCATGTGGTGGAAGCTCTCGAGCAATTGCGAAGGCGTAGGCTGATCTTGCAGAAGGAATCCGAGGAAGATGAGGCCACGGTTGAGAAGCCTGTCCACTCTACGAAGTCACGTGCTTCGTCTGGTCCTTCTAATGACCCCAGGAAGACGCCACTCATGGATCCTCGGTTTCCCGCCAGGGTTGCAACCCAGCCTGGCGGCTCGGCACCTCGGGTTCGCCGCGTATGAGGAAAAGAGATCTCATTTTGTAGAGTACCCCTCGGGTTCACCTCGGGTTCGCCTCGGGTTCTGAAAAAATATTGAAAATGGATCTCATTTTGTAGAGTACAACGAACTCGTTCCATCTATGGAAAAAAAAACCCAAGTTAAAACGAAGAAAATATAAGTCGATGAAGAAAACAAGTTGCAAAGGAAATCAAGATTTAGTTATGCTGAGTAACCATGGAGTACTCACTTGAGCTGTCCGACCCCATTAGCTCTTAGCCTCTGACCCATACTAAGTTAGGGGTGTACATGGGTCGGTTGGTTCGGGTTTAAGTATTTTAATCACCCGACCCATGCACTATGGTTTGGGAATTATCAAACTCAAATCCACTCAAAAAAAAATTAAACCCTACGGTTTGTTTCTAATTGGGTTGGGTCGGGTTGACGATATTTTTAAGTAAAAATCAAACCCAACATAAAATATATAATTATTATACACCATAAAAATATTTTATAACTAATTAAAATTTCAAACAAATAAACTGAGGTGAAAGGTATCAAAATTCACAAATGTTGTTTGAGTTTTAATAAAATGTGATTTACTTCAACATATGTCTAGTTTTTTTCACGATATTTGTTGAAATAGGCTAAAAAGGTTATAAACAAATGCATCCATATTATGTTAAAATTGTACACAAGAAAAAGGATTACATGAATCATAATTTATATTCAATTTATGTCTAAACTTTAAGTCGAAGAATGCATTAGATTAGGGAGACCATAATAGAAAAACATGGCGAAATATCTTAATTTTCACATAAGTATGGCTATATACGACATAAATATTTTTTAGATACGAACTCATACTAATAGTTGGAACACGGGTTGGGTCGGGTTCTATGGGTTGTGTAATCCAAAATCCAAACCCAACCCAAAAGAGGTGGGTTGTACAAAAGAAAACCCTCACCCAACCCAAAACCTTCGTTTTAGCGATAAATACGGGTAGATTGGGTTGGGTTGAACGGATAGGTCGGTTTGCGGGTTTGTTTGTTCACCCCTAATACAAGTTGCAAAGGAAATCATTAAATTGGTTAATACTTAAAACTTAATAGTTAATACCCATCCAAAGTAGGATGATCGCTGCTGTAGAAGATCTAGGCTCGCGTAAGACCTAAGATTCGGGCTGGTTAACGTTAATCTCCCTTCTCCAAATTTCTCTGCTTCCCAGGTTGAGGAATGAAATTGAGTCCCCAGTGAACTAGAAAATCGCGGTGATCATTTGAATTTGGGCACTAGGGTTTCTAACTGCCGATCCTCGTCTGTTCATAAGAAATTTCGCGCGAAAACATGGATCCCGAAGGTATTGTTGATTCCGCTGATCGATTTTTCGTAGCTTTCGTTTGACGTGCATATGCCTAGTTACCTGCTCGATCATAAGAACCAGAAAACCAACCAGCCTGGAATTGTTCTTCTCGTAGGGCAGCGAGGAAGCTCCGCCAATCCCTCTGCGATGCTCAGTTCCCTTCTCAGCAAGAGAGCCAAGCTTCACGAAGAGCTACGCAGCATCGAAAGACAGGTTCTTTGGTTTTTTCTTTCCTTTTGCTACTTTCTTCATTCTTCTGGGAGAGTTTGGCTGAGTAAGCTCGCATCACTCTCTCCCTAAAACCAGAGCACTCTGGTGGATAATCAGGATCAGCTTTTAAACGCATGGATTCTATCTCTAATTTTGTTGCTTCTGATGAGGAGTGTGGAGTTCGGTAGAAGCATTAGTTGTTCTCTTGGGTAAAAGTTACAGGGAACACAATGGGGCTTCTTTGTAGTCATTAGTCTCTCCTGTTGTCAGCAAGAGCCTGATATGTTGGTTATGGGTTTACAGGTTTATGACATGGAAACCAGCTACTTGCAGGATCCGAGCCAGTGCGGCAATGTATTGAAAGGTTTCGAGGGATTCCTATCTTCATCTAAGAACACTGCACTGTATGGAGCGACTGTTTACATAACTGTCTCTCTACACCTACCTACAACTTGTCTTTATCTTTCTCAGTTTTACTCTTTCTTTTCTCACTTCAATTTTGATGTGGATTCGCATGGCTTAATTGCTCTGGTCAAGCTTTATAGGCTGCCTTTATTACGACCTTCGAAGCAGAACTGAATTAGTGTAATGGTCAATTTGAATGACTAAAACTGGATGATGTTTAGACCAAATCATACTGTTTGGATCCAAATACCGCAGCAAATTGCAACCAAAATGTTAATACGCGGAAGTGTGGTTTCTTTTTTTTCTCATACCAGTTTCGAACTACAGGTTTGCTCTTGGTTAAGTTCTCCGTTCCTAACCCACTGCAAACCGTACCTTTTGCAGTGAAAAACATGGTCGCCAGATTTGTCATTCCTGCATAGGTGTGATGAAGAAATGCCATGCTAATCGCTGGATGATATCTGAGTGTTATGATTACGCGTAAGTGATTGAGCTATTACGATCAATCTAACTTTTTTTTGATGATTGCAGCTTGAAGCGGTCTAAGAAGTTTCAGCCTGAAGATAGACTATTCTCATTATCTTCAGTTACCTCACCTGCAGTATGTACCCTTTCTACTCTACTGTGAACTTACCATGGCAATGAAACTGACCAATTGCCGGAAAGCAGTTACACTTCATGTATCTTTGCTAACCTTTCAACTGAGACGTGATAGTTGAAATGGAGAGGAAAAGCTTTTTAAAATTTTTTTGTTTCCTTGTTACTTACACTGTCCACTGGCCAGGCTGAGGAGCCAGCGCTTGGACGAGATGGTGAGTTCACACACTAACTAGAAATGTAAACAACACTACTGGCTCACTTTATTTATCTATTTCTGACCTTCATTTGTGTATATTTTAGATGGCAAATCAGACTTTGGTCCTGGTCGGTCCAAGGGTGGCGGCATATATTCAAACGGGCAGTAAGTATTCTATCATCACGTTGTGAAGTTGCTGGCACTTCGAGTAGCGTCTAAAAGAGCTACCTGAACGATACTTGATCTTACAATGAATCTAATCTCATCCATCCGTAATGTTCAGAGGAAAACCAAAGAGGGGAAGAGGCACACCAAGAGATGCCAAGAGAGTCAGGGCTTCAGCGGATCCTGACTTTGACTATGATGATGATCCTGATTTGATGTGAAAAAATCAGCTAGCTACTGGTATCGGCACCAGCAGAAGCATGAACTCTGTCTTTACAAGACCAGGAAAGAGGAGCCCTTAGGATGTTCCCTCTGCAGAAGCAATGGAGCGATCTTTCGTCATGTAAGCAATTTCTGCTTCTCTTGCTGATTGACGTTGGTTTCTTTATACTCGGGGATGGAGTTGGATTGTGCTGTTATTTTGACTCCTCGGTCCTCACCAAGCGTCTTCTTTTATATGTATGAACAACCTTGATGTACAGTCCAAGCTTTTGAATTTTAACTTTTATGCTTTTTCAATTTTATTGAGTTGGATTGTGCTTGTATTTTACTACCAACATGTTTGGATATGTACAATTCCGTAACAAATGGAATACCATTTCCAATTTTGGGTTTTATAAAACTCTATTTCCAATTCTTGTGTTTCTACGAAAATGAATAGTACTTTTAGCAACAATTAATAATGCAATATATTTGTTTTATTTTGAAATAAAATATGAATGAAAGAGAATATAGAAATGGGTCAAATTCCTGAGTTTTTTTATTTCCGATCCAAACCGGATGTACAAGTGTAGATAAATCTCCTTCAATTATATGGTACTGGATTTAGTGTTTGCAAAATCATTGCATATGCAATCTAATCGAAAAAATTGTCTAACGACTTGGTATGAAATGGTTGAACAACATTTAAATTATACTTTAAATACAAAATATGTTGTCACTAATTTTTCCAATATAATCTCTGATATATTTTTACAATCCTTGAGGCTACCAATACTATATGTGTGAAAATCTATTTGCCAAAGTAAGAGCCAGAAAAAGCTCCAGAAATGGCAGTCTGCTTAATTGAAGCCTCTGATTCTGTCTCCCCTCGTTTCCAGTTCGAACTCGACGGTTACCTCTCCGTGAGTGCTCCCTTTTCCCGTTTTATGATGTTCTCTTAAAATTCCCTATAGCTACTTTCTCTGGTGCAATTTCGCCAACACTTGGCATGCGCAGTCGTTCTACCTGCAATCTTATCCATAACCAATCGTGCCTTGCGTGAATAACTGCAATGTAGCTTTTGTTTCTTGCGTTTGAATTCTGTTCAAAGGAAAAAGTCATGGAGCACTTGCATTTTCTTGCTAAGCGCAAACGAACTATGAAAGTTATGCATGAACATAATGCTCATAACTTCCCTCTAGATTAGCAGTTGTTGAAGCCCCTATCCTCAAATGGATAAGGTTACTTAATATTCGTTTTTGAAAAACCCTAGATGCTGTCGGAGTAAAGGATCGTCACAAGGGCGTTCTAGTGTGTTGTAGTTTCTTATCCCAGACTTGTATCATTGGATGATACCATGTGAATCGCTAGAAACAGGTACACTGTATGGCTAACCCAATAATGAGAGCTTCATAAGGGGACTAGAGCAGGCTACAATGGACGCTAGATGAATAGTAAATATGCTTGGAATTAGAGATGTCCAGAGCATCCCTTTGGCAAGGTTGCTATATGCTTTTCGTTCTTTTAATTTATTCTGTTGAACTATTTTCTACTAGTTGAAAGTTTGTCTACTTCAGATCAGATTCAACTGTATTATTTTTCTACTCAACATGACTTCGTGTATTTTTTTTTGCTGTCGTTCCTCCACATTCTTACTGTTTGCTGCAGGGTTGCGACTTACACCAGCTCAGGAAACTGCCGTGAGTTGGGTAAGTTTTCTTTTATCCCGTGATCACCAGCTTTTTGTCTCTAATACGGTCTGTTATTCAAGATGTACTCTTCATTTCATTCATGTAGATATTAAAGGATGGGATGCAACATGTAGTAAAGCTAATATGTCTGCAATTTTGGGTGCTAGAATGGACTCTGAGCCAAAAGCGTTGGAGAATACTGGGTTCTCTTTCTTTTCTCTTTAACCTTGAGTTTTATTTTCTGCAAACACCCCTTCCCCTTCTTCATGGATTTGAGAAGATTAGTGTAGATAACATTGTTGTCTTTGCAGCTGATCTGCTGTATGATTTGGGCAGCGGATTGGAAGTTCTTTCTCCATTGTGCCCTAGTCTCTTTCTTGAGGTGGCTGGCCTTGGCAATTTTACTAAGGTATATGCTGGTTGTTGAAAGGGAATGGCAGTAGTTGCAGCAAAGGCAACAAGGTGTGTTAGGAATGGGAGTAGGGATCCAATTAGCACCTACCGTTTGTTCCACTGTGCAGGGGAAGTTAGCAAGAAAATAAGAACAAATTCATGGATAGCAAACCCAGCAAGATTTAACATAAAGAACTAATCACCAAAACCATATAATAATTTGAGCGTTGCATCCTTAGGAAGTAAAATTAAGGAGAAACACACACATATTGTACTTAGAAGCTAAACATATACCGTCTCACAAGGGCCATATGCTGGCCGAAACAGATGTGTTTCTTCACTGGATTGTTTAATTTGATTGCAAATTGCAAGTTTAAGAGCACATCTCCAAGACTGTCTCACTTTGTAGTTTCATCAACCTGACTTCTTACTTGGTTTTGCTGACACAAAATTCTGCATTATGCTATAAAAACAAGGATAAGAACTCTTTGTTAGATTCTGCCAATCTGCAGGAAGAAAGTGAGAATGGAAGAAAGTGTAGACTTTGAAATCAAAGTTTTGGTTTCAAACCTTGTGAAAAATATCCTTTGAATCAAGTGTGCTGCTTGAATAACCCGGAATGATCCTTTTCCTCGACAGAGCATTGTGCAACTGCAACCCATAAAAACTTTTATACTCGTGAGGTTTTCTCGTCTACTCTTCTTTAAGCAATGAAGAACTAGAGTGCATCCCACCTTTATTTGTTTATCAAGTTGCATTGGTTTGAGTAGCTTTGCTTGGGGACAAGCAAATGCATGTATTGTTTACAATGCATCTTTTTTGTTTTTGTTTTTTAACAGATACAATATATGGATTGTTTCTGTGATGTGACAAAGTTATCACTCATTTTGAGTGATTGTTATATCTCAACTTTTAGTTCTGATTGTTGAGATAGTTGAGTTGAGATTGTTTTGTCTCAACTTTTAGCTAATGCGACATACCCAATCACACATACCAAACGTTATATTCTACAATGCATCAAATTCGACAATACATGTATAATATGCATTCTCAACAATACATCTATTTAACAATCGGCAACTTCCAAACCACCCTATAATCTCCTACAAATGAATGAATAAAGCACAAATGAATGAATAAAGCATGGCACCTTGTCTTTTGTCCTATTAGGAGAGTACTTAGTAATTAGTATAGCACCATGCTTTTGTCATGGTTTCCCCCCCAAAAGAAAGAAATATGTGTTTTGCTTATAGTATAGGCCCCACTCCGAGGCGGCCTCCTCGCCCCCATCCTTTTATTATATTTTAACCACCAAACCCTTGTCCCCATTCTCATCATTTTTATCACACACTTGCACAGAAGCACATGTAAGTAAAGCAAGCAGAGAGATACGAAACAGAGAGCACATCCTTCCTTTGTATTGCCTTGCTCTGCTCTGTGTTGTGAAGGTGGTGAAGCAAGGCAGGGAGAGCGCGAAGATGGTTCGAGCGCCATGCTGCGAGAAGAAGGGGCTGAAGAAGGGGCCATGGAGCGGAGAGGAAGACCAGATTCTGGTCAATTACATTCACCTCCACGGCCACGGCAACTGGCGCGCCCTCCCCAAGCTCGCCGGTAACCCCCATTTCCTCTTCTTCTCCTCCTTGTTGTTGTTGTTGTGGGTATTTGGGGATTTTGAGCAGTGAGTGAAGATGGATGATTGAGCAGGGCTGTTGAGGTGCGGCAAGAGCTGCAGGCTCCGGTGGACCAATTACTTGAGGCCTGACATCAAACGTGGCAACTTCTCCCTTCAAGAGGAACACACCATCCTTGAATTGCACAACCTCTTGGGCAACAGGTCATTCATTCATTCATTCATTTTGCTCTCTTCTAGCTCCGTCTTTTTGGTTGCTAAGTGGATCGGTTGAAATTGAAAACGTTTCATTTCATGAATATAATGGATGGTCAAACTCAAACCTGAATTTGCAACTAATGAATAATGATAGTAGCAAGGAAACGTAGAGGAGGATAATCTATGTAAATAATGTAACCACAATTCAAGCTAGGCTAGCCCAGTCAATTTTACTATACTGGCCATGATCTGGATCATCCAATCCCACGGCCGGAGATGGATACTTTTTTTTTCAAATAAAAAAAAAATTATACACATGAGCCTTTTAGCATTCAGAGATTGATTTATTTTATAAAAAAAAAAATATATATATCTGGGGAGTGCTGCTGAGTGCAGTGGTATCCTAATCTCCAAGATTGTGACTGACCGCTTTCATCAACTTAGTTGGGGGCTAGCTAGCATTAGCAAGCAACTGTGTCTGTGTGTGAATTTTCCAAGGTTGATGGGAATCACTCATTAATATTCGGATTCCATTTCCCCATCCCATATTATTATATTATATTCATATGTGTGTGGATCGGTCCTACTTGCCTACCTCCATCAACTCTTTGCTCTCCCACACTTCCAAACAAAACTGCACATTATTCCTCCCCGCTCACGTGACAACATATGTGTACAAACATTTATATATTATTATTATTCTTCTTAACAAACCACTCTAAAAGTTACCATTGATTGGCAGTTAAAGAAGGGTATTGGTAAGATCGTAAACTTGATTTTATGTGCGAGCAGATTACATAATTTAAACCAAAATGACATTTTTTTTATTTTTTAGTTTTTGAATCGAATTATGTCTTCTTTATTTTAATTTGAACTTCAAAAATTTTTGCACGGAGAAATGACTTCATTGAACCGACGGAACTCGTTGCAACACTCTGTATCGTCTTTGTTTTGAACTCAAATTTTGCTCAGAGAGAACGAGTTCACCGTTACCAAATATACCACCTTGTTATAAGGTTTTAGGCTTCATAGCTAGTGGTAGACGGTGATTAAAAGGTTGTAAATGGCGATTACTATATTTCTTCTATAATATGTACAACTATTCCACACTGTGGTACTCTTCCATATCACCATTGTATAATCTCCAGTGGCGGATCCAGGGCTGGGCCAACTCAGGCCCCGGCCCAATCCTCTTTCGGATCCAGAGTTAGTTTAGTGCTTATAAAATTTTTCGATTTAGATATTTGGCCCAATGCTATTTAAATTCCTGTCTAGTTTTATTTGATAATAGATTTTGCGTAACTAGAAAAATGGTTCAGAGATGAACATATCCAAACCATTACTCTAAATTTATACTAAATTTTCTATAGCCCCAATGACTTTATTTGAAAATAGACATGAAAACCTAAAAGTGTAAGTTTCATTAAAATAAAAACTCTAAACTAAAGCACACCCTTCCTTGAAAAATTCAAAAAATTTCTCAATCCCCCCAAAACAAAACAAGAACGAGGAGACGAGCATACCCAAAATGGATTTCTCCGCCAACCCGTCGAGCTGGTTTTCTTTCCATTCTTTTGATTAAGAAAATATTTACAAACTTCCTGAGTCAGCATTTAGATTGCCTCAATTGAGTGGGGCACTAGATTCTAACCGTTCTTTCTGGTGTTTTGATGAAGAAAATATTTACAAACTTGCTTAAGATTTTAGCCTCGAGACTTTGAATGCTATGAGATGCATTCTTTGGAGAATGCACTACTCATGTGAGGAAGATGAAGTTTCTTCTCTTACAAAATTATTAGAGAAGCTGGAGGAAACAGGGATGGACACATAATACTAATTGATTTCTCGGTTGATTTGTCTAGTGTTGACCTAGCCGTTTCAACAACTACCATGGAGAGAATATTTTCAGCAATGGAACATGAACATTGATTTGTGCAACAAAATGAGCGATGAATTTCACGTTGATTACTTAGCTACTTTCTTTGAAAAGAGTATATTATAAGTATGAATGGAGATTATATTATTGATGAATTTGCTAAATTAAAAGACTTTCTTGTATAATTGACATTGTAATGAAAACTATATTATTATACATTTTTGTTTATAGTATATAATATTCTATTCAAATGCGGCCCAGTGCTCTCTTATATCCGGGATCCGCCGCTGATAATCTCATGTACTAACGTACATTACCGATTTGGTATTGGCTAGTAATATTTGTCTGGTTACTCTGATTATTCTAAACCTAAAAAGATAGATCCAATTATTATGCTTTTAAAACGAAAAGATACATGGTTCGAGGGGAAATTTATTTGTCTCTCATGAACAATTAATGAGAGTTATTGATGATTATGCACAATTAAGTTATCGACCGGAAAATTGTGTGTGTTTTAACTGATCGTGACTTGGTTGGATATGACAGATGGTCGACGATAGCGGCAAAATTACCTGGCCGAACGGACAACGAGATTAAAAATGTGTGGCACACTCACTTGAAGAAGAGGGCCGCCAACCACGACGACACCAATAATAATCATCATCAACAACAGCCTACTACTAAGAAGCGACGATCCGCCTCCAAAAAATCCAAGGCCGCCAGCGTTAAGGCGGATCAACAAACCAAACCGACGGCGGCGGAGGAGGCAGAGGCGGAGGAGGAATTAAAGTCATCATCTCCAGGCGTGGCTCCTCCGCCTGCTTCGCTGCTGCGGCAGTACTCCAGCGACGACGTGTCCTCCCTGACGACGGGGGACAACGGTGGGACACAAAGCAACGGCGCGAAGCCTGAGGATTTTTCTTCCACGGAGGAGATGGACGAGAGTTTTTGGTCGGAGGTTCTGTCGGCGGACAGCTCTACCTCGACCGATCACGATTTCCCGGCGGCGGAACTTGGATCCGGGTTATACGATAATCCGTTGGCTTCGTTTGTGAGTAGTGAGGGTGATGGGCCGAAAGGTGGTGAGGAGGAGGAGGCTGCAGCCCTGGCCCACTCGATTGTGGACTATACTAGCATGGACTTTTGGTACAACCTTTTGACCGGTGACAACAATAAGGAGTTATCTCAACTCCCACCCATTTGAGAAATCTTTTGTTTGTTTTTCTTCTTCTTAGACTTTAGGGAGGGAGGGTATGATTACTTATTAGTGTTTTTTTAGTGAGGTCTTCCCTTCTTCGGGTCCGTCACGATCCCGATCTGATCATCTTTGCTTTTACTTTCTTTTAGGTTCGACCGTTGTGATTTTGCTGTTCAATTTGTCGACAAATAATTCAGAGTAACAAAGGCGAACCATCTGAAGGATAAATTAAAAACTTTTAAGAAAGCCCAATCTCATTTCTTGACACCTTTGCAATATATATAGAACTTTTAATTGCCGATGGATAGCTTAAACATGGGCTATTTAATGCGAGCTATTTACTAGTTCAACTTGTCACTCGGGTTTTCATATAAATGAAACGATGCAATCGAAATGCGACTTTGTAATTCAGTTATTCAAATTCAGTTGTGCCACATACCACTTAACAATTTTTTTGGTGCTTCTAGCTACTGTCACTAGCATAAGCTACTGTCAAATAAATCGAGTAACATGAGCTATGCTCTTGCTATCATTTTCATCCAAATGGAATGAGCAGAATTCTGCTAGATTGACCCGAAGTGGATGGTGAACTAATCCAAGATTGTCAAACCAGTTTAAGTCGTTGAGCCTGTTAAGCAAGTGGTTAGAAATTTAATGGTCCATTAGGATCCAACCTATTTGAATCATTTTAGACATTGATTACCTAGCCCCAAGCTCCACTCAAAAATGCAAGGACTAAAATTAAATTTACTTTAGTATCTATTAGAAATTCTCTCTCATAAAAATAAACATACCTAGCCCCAAGCTCCACTCATTTAGGTTCAGTCTATTAGTTAGCAAAATAGATTTAGAACTATTGATTTAAACGACTAAAACTAACAATTGAATAAGTGGATTGACTAAGGTTCAGATGGACAAAGATTACTACTCGAGGCATTGATTACCTCTTATCGAACTAATGATAGACGATCTTCAAATTCGTCTTCACTCTTGTTTATACTGCGAAAAAGTCCTTAGCAAGCTTGAATCTCGATTAAACCAACCAGTACCCTCTTGACTAGCTTACTTAGAGGAATTTTATCCTCAACTAGAATAGGCTATCACGGAAATACAAACTAGAATTTCTCTATTAAATCGCACTCAATATAGAGCATTGAATCAACTCACTCTCGTGTAGTCAATCCCCCACTTCCAATCAATGCTACTCTATCAACCTATGCCTCCTAGGTTAAAGCAAAAATCATAAAAACGTGATGAGGGCTCAAACAATTCAATAAATTTGCATCGATTGGATATAAACTATGAGTTTAAAAGAATCAAGGTATCATACAACTATTCATTCAAAAACTAGGATTCCTCATACCCAAGCAAAAAGGGTGATTAGTTCACGAGGGGTGTGTAAATAAATATAAAAGAAGAAAAAGACGACTAGGCAATCTCCGTGGTATAAACTGTTATTGATCGCTCCCAATTGAGTCCAATGGTGTTTAGCTCCAGGAAACCCCTCTTTTCATGCCCCCTATCTCAAAATTTAGGTTTTTGGCCGAGTCTAGCAACAATCCCCTTAGAGAAATCCTAATCGCAACTTAAATAGGAAAAATCTAAGACTGGGCATGGCCTCGGGCCATGATCGTGCTCCAGCCGATGCTTAGTTCGTCACTATTTTATCTTTTTTCTTTTCTTCAAGATTTATAGGGTTCTTTGTTTCCCGAGCACGCCTTACAATAGTGCCATTCCCTGGGCCGTGTTGGGCTCCTAATTCATCTTTAAAATTGCATCCAAATGCTCTCCAAATCGTTCCGAACTCGCAATTCCCATCTTCAGTGCATTTTTTTGTCTGAAAATCATCAAATTTACTCATGGTGACCTGAAACACACTAAAACAACAAACCAAACTGAATTTGAATAGTAAGATCAAACTTACACCAAACCATTTATGCAAGGGGCTTTATAAGATCAAGTCTAAGCTTGTGGCCAATTGATTGAAAAGGGTTATAAACGAGGTGATTGGGGAGCAACAGAGCTCCTTTGTTCCAGGAAGGTTTGTCACATACAAAGTCTTGGTTTCCTTCGAATGTTTCCACACAATGAAACAGAAAAAGAAGGCGAAAAAGCTTGTGTTTTCCTGCAAGAGACAACATCAACAGAATTTCCAAATGGAATGCTCGTTAGCGCAGACAACATGTGCTTTCGAGCCTAAAGATGGGTTTCCCTTCCATCCTCCGACTTCGAGCCACTTGCATTTCCTTTCTCCTTGGCCCAGTTCACCTCCATCTGTTGTTGATCAGCTCGGACTTCAGCTGGTGACAATGCATGCAGCAGCCGTTTTCGATCTCCTTACTTGATATAATACCAAAGAGGTTTGTCCTCTCCTTTCTCATAGTTTTGCATAAGAAACTTAAATAAACTCTACAAAATGTTGACCAAAAGTATATAAATGGATATCTCTGTGTATATCACAATTAATTCATTTTTCTGTATGAAATTCTTTTAAATTGAAAAAAGATACAGTCCAATTGATTAAAGTAGGTTATTGAAAATTTTATTTGAATTTCAACCATGAGACCTGTTTAATCTTGAAACTTGGTTAATAAGTTGATTTATTATTTAGGTTATGCATATGTATCTAATCAAAGGTTTTCTATCTTCATGCACACATTACACAAAAATGGAATTATGTTCAAATTAAAAAAAAAATAGAATTGCATTAGACAAAAAGTAAAGACACTATCATTAATAAGTTTGCATGAAAGATGGGAAGATGACTTAATAAATGGAGAAAATGAGTTGCATTACAGAGAAAATAATTATATTTTATTTAATAAATGAGGGATGTCGAATTCATTTTTTTATACATATATAACTCGGTTTTCTATGACTTCTTTTACCAATGGAATTATTGTGTATCAAGATGGCACATAATTGAATTGTGTAAGTATATTTAGTAATTTTATGGTGTAGGAACATTGTCACGTATCCTTGACCTAGAGTTCAGCTATCCACGTCCTCCCCAATTGTATCGGTTTGGGCCAATAATCTGAACTTTCAGGCCTTGCTTAGTTCAACTACCAAACCAGGTCCATCAATTGTTCAGCCCAATGTATTTCCGAACCCGAACCACAACCCGCTACCCGACCGGCGGTCACTATATTCGAAGTCCCACCTAGCAAACTACCGGACTGCACAAACAAAAGCGGAAAAAATGGCATCCATGTATGCGCCGTTGGAGGAGGCAAGTGGCGACTACAGAAGAATGGGTGTCGTTGGTGCACCGCCGTTGCCGTCTCTTTCTCCATGTATGCGCCGTCGTCGGAAGATAAAGGCCTATTCCGGATCTGGCTTCTCTCAGCGCTCGTAGACGTCCAGGCCTCAGAAATCGTCGGCCCAACCTCCGATTTCTACAGGTAACCACTGGAGATTTGTCGATGGATGGCAATTACCTAGGGGAGGTGCAGGAGATACTCGGAACCTCCGGTAAGGTGACGCTTCCCGTGGTTCTCATCGGCGGGAGGTGCATCGTCGGGCTGGACGAGATCAGAGAGCTCCACGAGAGCGGGGAGTTGTAGTCGTTCATCGCCGGGCTGTTTCCGCCGACGGCCGTCAAGCATCGAATGTAAAATAAGCTGAAACGCGGAAAGAAAGAACACAAGATTTACGTGGTATCCCCGATGAACGGGACTAATCCACGGAGAGCAGAGCTCTCAGAGAGGGTTTCACTATAGTTTGGCCGAACAGAAATCGAGCCTCAAGAGTACGGTGATTACAAAAGAGCTAACCCTAATAAATACCCTTTAACCGTTTAACCTAGGGTAAGTAGGGATTAACCAAAGTGCAAAATGGTACCCATAATAAAGAGTACACAAAATACGGTCCAACACTCCCCCTCAAGTTGAGGCATGAAGGTCACAAATGCCCAGCTTGGACAAAAGAGAGTGAAACTGATCAGCACCCAAGGCCTTGGTGAGGATGTCCGCCAACTGTGAGGAAGAGGCAATTTTCAGAGGATCAACCACACCAGTGACCACACGTTCTCGCACAAAATGGCAGTCCATCTCCACATGCTTAGTGCGTTCATGGAAGACAGGATTGGCGGCAATGTGGAGAGCAGCCTGATTGTCACAGTATAAGGGAGTGGGTGCAGACTGAGGAACCCCCAACTCTGTAAGAAGAAAACGGAGCCAAACAACCTCGCTAACCACACTAGCCATGGCACGATATTCAGCCTCGGCAGAGGAGCGGGCAACCACACGTTGCTTCTTAGTACGCCACGAGATCGGAGCACTCCCTAACTGAACAACGTAACCAGTAGTGGAACGACGAGTGGTTTGACAACCACCCCAATCTGCATCGCAGTAAGCTGTCAGAGTCAAAGAACTATCAGAAGGGAAGAACAGACCCTGACCTGGAGCAGTCTTGAGGTACCGAAGGACACGATGAGCAGCCGTCACGTGTTCAGGACGAGGAGCATGAACGAACTGACTCAGGACATTAACGGCATAGGTGATGTCAGGTCTCGTGACAGTGAGATATAAGAGACGCCCAACGAGGCGACGATAAGAGCTCGCATCAACAACCTCATCAGAGGCGGGACCGGGGCGAGTGAGGGTATGATTCTGTTCCATGGGAAAAGAACTCGGACGAGCACCAGCAACACCGGCATCATGCAGGATATCCAGAGTATACTTGCGCTGACTAAGTATAATCCCGGCAGGAGAACGAGCTACCTCAATGCCCAGGAAGTACTTGAGAGGGCCAAGGTCCTTGATGCTGAACATGTCATCAAGAAAAGACTTAACACGAGAGATGAAAGCGTCATCATTGCCAGTGAGGACAACATCGTCCACATAAATGAGGGCGGCGACGAAGCTGGCGCCACGATGATAGAGAAGAAGCGAAGGATCGGCCCGAGAGGCCACAAACCCCAGCTCAGCAAGGGCGAGGGTGAACTTGGAGTACCAATTCCGGGATGCTTGACGAAGACCATAAAGAGAACGTCGGAGGCGGCAAACTCGAGTGTCACCCTTGGCTGCAAAACCTGGAGGAAGTTTCATATAGACTTCTTCCTGAAGATCGCCGTGAAGAAAAGCGTTGTTAACGTCAAGCTGATGAAGAGGCCAGCCCTTACTGACTGCAACAGCAATTAAAACACGGACAGTAACAAGCTTGGCTACCGGGGCGAAGGTGTCATGGAAATCCACACCCTCAACCTGGGTAAAGCCCTTGGCTACAAGACGAGCCTTATACCGTTCCACAGAGCCATCAGGATGATACTTGATTTTGTAAACCCATTTACAGTCAATAGCCCGCTTGCCTGGGGGCAAGAACTCCAAGGTCCAAGTACCATTGGCTTCCAAAGCCGTGATCTCCTTAATCATCGCCTCGCGCCAACAAGCGTACTGAACAGCCGTGCGAAAATGGCGAGGCTCAACAACCTGGGTGATAGCGGCAAGGAATGCGCGATGGGAGTAAGAAAAATGGTGATAGCTCACGTGATTAGAGATGGGATGACTGGCAGGAGGTAAAGATGACCCACTAGCAGCATGAGAAGAAGATCCCGGTAAGTCAACGTCATAAATGGCGAGCTTACTCGGTGGCCGGCGAATGCGATCCCCACGACGCGGGGCAGGAGGGGGGTCGAGGGGAGCGGTCGCTGATGGCGCAGAATCAGATGACGCGTCCGGCTCCTCCACGTCGGAAGCCCCATGCACACCATGCAGAGGCGAGGGAGAGACATCACCAACATCAAAGCTCTCGTGGACGTCCTCGGCGACTTGGGCATGCTCCAAAACCATCGGGTCAAGCTCCCCCTCAACTTCAACAGCCGAAAGGGGAGAAACAGCCGGCAAAGTAGTGTTGGAGGGAAGCTCAGCAGTAGGGCGGAGGAAAGGAAACTCGGACTCAACGAAATGTACGTCGCGGGACGTGATAATGCGACGAGAAGCAAGATCGTAGATCCGATACCCCTTCTGGGAATTAGGATACCCAACAAAAACGCCACGGCGGCCCCGAGGTGCAAATTTGTCCAAACCCGAACTGGTATCCTTCGCATATGCTAAACACCCAAAAGCATGGAGGTGGGTGTAGGTAGGCACACGTCCCAACAACACTTCAAAAGGTGTTTTACCAGCCAGAACCGAAGAGGGGAGACGATTGATCAAATAAGTAGCCGTGAGAACGCACTCACCCCAAAAACGAACCGGAAGGCCTGCGTGAAATCGAAGAGCCCGTGCAGTGTCAAGGAGGTGCCGATGTTTTCGCTCTACCACACCATTCTGCTGTGGGGTATTGACACAAGATGTCTGAAGGAGGATACCATGCTCGGCATAATACGAGCGAAGGAAAGTAGTCTGAAACTCCATCCCGTTGTCGGCCTGAATCCGTTTAACCGAACAATCAAATTGAGTGGCAGCCATCTGACAGAAAGAACGAATATGCTGCTCAACATCAGATTTGTACTTAAGCAAATAAATCCAAGTGGCTCTGCTAAAATCATCAACCACAGTTAAGAAAAACCGAGAACCATCCAAGGAAGGGGTCTTATATCCCCCCCGAATATCCACATGAATCAACTCGAAGCAACCGCGAGTAGTAATCGAACTAGAAGGAAAAACCGAGCGCGTCTGTTTGGCACGCAAACAAGAATCACAATGCAACTTGACTGGACCAGAAACTGCCGAACCCAGAACTCCACGTAACAAAGAATGCTTTTCTGCGGAGGGGTGACCCAGACGACGATGCCAAAGTGAGTGCTCGCCATAACTAGCCGCAAACGCGCCAACGCCAGGACCATGAACTGAAGACACCGTCGCATCCCACTGCAGGTAGTAGAGACCATCACGGAGGCGACCCAGTCCAATCACTGTCTTGGAACGTGAGTCCTGGATGATGCAAAAATCAGCCAAGAACAGTAAAGCAATAGCATTATCTTGAGTGAGACGACTAACTGAGAGCAGGTTGCATTTAAAATCGGGAACATAGAGAACCCGTCGTAAGATAAGACGATCATTAAGTTGCACCGAACCCACCCCTTCAACGGGAATATAGCGACCATTAGGAATCCGGACCGGGGAATGTGAACCACTACGGTCAATATTATCAAGCCAACTAGCATCACAAACAATATGCTCATTGCAACCTGAATCGAGAAGCCATTCGGAAGGATCAGTGAAATTACCCGCCATATGAGCTGTCGGATCAGGAGCTGGAATGGGAGAGCTGAAAAACTGTTTGAGGCTAGCGAATTGAGTGTTGTTCAAGCCTGGGATCGGGCTATCCTCGTTGTCAACATGAGCCGCCCTCGTTGCTGCCTCGCCTTGAGGTTTGCGCGCGGATGAAGGACGATCAGAATCACGTGATTTCGTCTTGCCGTAATCAGATGGGAAGCCAATTAACCGATAACACATCTCCTTAGTATGCCCCAACTTGCGGCAGTGACTGCAGCGAGTGGGACGTTCAGCTGAGGAGGCGGACTTGGATTGCTCTTCGCGCACCTGGAATGCGGCCGACTCGACCGAGGGACGTCTGCCTGCAGTGAGCTGCTTCTGCTGCTCTTCGCCAGCAACCAGCTGATATGCCTCGGCGAGTGAAGGGACGGGCTTCATTCTCAATATCTGCGAGCGGACAACAGCAAACACGTCATCTAAACCGAGTAAGAAATCGAACAACCGCTCCGTCTCGAGCTTCTCACGGGTCTGTTTGGCCACGTCGCACGTGCACCCGCCACAGCTGCATTTAGGGTTGATGCTAATGGTCTGTAACTCGTCCCAATAGGTGCGAAGTTTCGTATAAAATGCTGAGACGGAGAGCTTCTCCTGCCGAAGAGAACCAATGAGGAGCCGCAACTCATAAGCACGAGTGGCCGAGCCAGTGCCAAAGTGTTGTTGCAAATCCGACCAGATCTCTCGCGCCGTCCGAACTCCACGAACACTATTGCGGACCTCCTTGCTCATCGCAGTCTTGAGCCAGCCCTTGACCATGGCGTCGCAGCGATCCCAGGCGTCAGCGCGTGGCCCAGTACCAACCGCAGAACGCGGCAAGGAGCCATCAACGAGAGCCATCTTATTCTTGGCGACGAGAGCCTCTGTCATGTCATTGACCCATTCGCCGTAGTTAAGATCGGTCAATAGGTCGCTGCCGAACAGTTGGCCAGGGTTCTCCGATGGGTGCAAGTAAAGAGGAGATGCGAGAGGAATAGCGTCGTCGGCGCCAACAACGGCAGCTTTGGTACCGCTACTAGTCTCGTCTCCAACGGCCATGATCACAGTAGATCGATCACAGCTCTGATACCATGTAAAATAAGCTGAAACGCGGAAAGAAAGAACACAAGATTTACATGGTATCCCCGATGAACGGGACTAATCCACGGAGAGCAGAGCTCTCAGAGAGGGTTTCACTATAGTTTGGCCGAACAGAAATCGAGCCTCAAGAGTACGGTGATTACAAAAGAGCTAACCCTAATAAATACCCTTTAACAGTTTAACCTAGGGTAAGTAGGGATTAACCAAAGTGCAAAATGGTACCCATAATAAAGAGTACACAAAATACGGTCCAACATCGAACGAGTGCGATCTGTGCGGAGGGCTGAGATTCGTCCTTGCGAGGAGTGCAGCGGCAGCCACAAGATCTACTCGGAGAAGCACGGGTTCCGAAGCTGCACCGCGTGCAACGTCAACGGTTTGATCCGCTGCCCGGACTGCTACAAGCCTGCCCGCCGCCGCATGTCCATCGCGTAGCGCCGACGATGATCACTCGACCGTCCGGTAAAATCTGGTTCGACGTGGGGAGACTGACGGTCTCTTGTGAATGCGTCGGTTACAATCACCAACGAGGGGCAGTTACGCTTCAGATAAGTACTCCCTTATCATTTATTTTATTATTATTATTATTATTAATTCCGTTCCCTTAATAATCACCCTTCTACTTTATTTGTTTTTAATTATTCTTTCCATCATTTTCATATTTCTCGTACGTATCTATTGCCTTCTTTTTATTATTATATACTTGCTAATTGGTAGGTCCCCAAAATTTAGCTTGTTTCCTTTTATTAAAAAAAAAAGAATGAAAGAAAGAAAGAAGGTTTAGGTTTGTAACGGGTGGTGCCGGTTATCTAGGGTTTCCCGACGACCTGATTCTCTATTTCAAAGGCGAATTGCTGCCTTGTGTCTATGTTGACTTGTTGGCTCTTTGGGCTGGATTGTCCTAGTAGGGGCCTTTGTTTGCTCATTTTGCAGGTGAAGATTCAATTGCACAGTAGTCGATCGGTGACGGCTGTCTTGTTCACTAGGTGGCCTTTTGATGAGATTTGATGGAGCACTTAGAAATGGCGCCCCTGATGTTGAAGGAACCCCTTGAACACTATTAATGTTTAGTTTGATGGTGTGGTCAAGCATAGTTACGAAGGTAGTATTGGCTTTGTGGGTTTTCAATCGTCAGGTAATATTCTCTTTGCTTTCGGAAAGTGTTATGAAGGATTACACGATTCATTTGTTATACTGGAGGTCATAGAGTGGTGCCTGACATATTCCTTTGTCTCTGTCAAATTTCATGGGGATTCACAACAATTGATACGACGGGATGGTGGGAGGCGATTTGGCGCATGATCGGGGTGGAGCTCTACTAGAGGATGCTCGGAGCTTAGTTTCTCACTTCAGCTGATTTCTTACTGCTTTGTTTTTCGTCGACTTTATAGGGCTGCCCATCATGTGGCACTAAAGGCCCTCTCATCGGGAGTTCGATTATTGGTCGACTCCCGCGCTTTTCTTTCTTTCTTTCTCCTTGTGACTATCTTTTCAACACTGACTTTGCCAAAAAAAAAAATATATGTGAATGTGATAATGCTTTCTACTTAGCAAGTTAGCATGTTCACTTCATACACCAAATAATGCAGTAAGCACAAAAAAATAAATTTAGCATTAGTACACATATTTATAATATTACAAACAACATAATACATTGTTAGTGTGACATGAACACCAAAGAGGATTGTCCTTTGATTTCTCATAATTTTCAATTTGAAATGAACATGGATTTAAAAATTGTATAAGTGTTTGGACGATAATTGAGTTTTGGCATTTCATTTTATTTTGCAATATGTCATTTTGTGGGAATTTTTTATAATTTTTTATGGTACATAATATGATTTTTTATTAATAATTTCCTATGATGGATACAAAAATATAATAGAAACTTTCGTAGCTTTAATTTATATAAATTTAAGGTAAATGTTTTCATAATTGATTCAAAATTCAACCGGTAAAGCTAGAAGATCACCATCGTAGTTTAGTGATGAGGATTATATATTTTTTTTTTTAGGTTAGTGGAATATAAAATTTATGGGAAACCAAATTGATAAATGTGACATGGAAAATTGTGAAACTTGCTCTATCATACTTGGCAAAATATTGCTATAAAACATCCATTATATAATTTATAGATAGGTAGACAGACAGAAAGATAAATATATAGATATATGTTTACGGAATATATTGTGAAGAAAACAAGAACGAAAGTTATTTTTATTTATTAATGATTTTCTATGATGGATAGAAAAAACTATAACAGACACTTTCGTAGCTTTATTGTATATAAAACTTAAGGTCAATATTTTCATAATTGGGTGGAAGGTCAACCGGTAAAACAAGAAGATCACCATCAGAGTTTGGGTGTTAAACTCATTTCATGGCATGGGTATTAAACTTGTTGTGGTGATAGCATCAAATCGAATTTGTTCCATATGACTTTAATTTGAACTTGACATATTTTAGGTTGGAGTCTTACCCCTGTTTTTTTGCTAGGGAAAATGATGGAAAGGAAAAGGGGGAGAATGCGGGTTCCAATAAACTTTTCCCCGTTTCCCAAACGTTATACAGTATCTAGATAAGGGAAAAGAGAGGGGCCGGATACTGTTTCACCAATCCCTCCAAATTGGAGAGGAAGAAGAAAGAAGAAAAAAGTTGGCCCTTTTTATTTTTCTTTTTTGTTATCTCTCTCCTGCATCATCTATCTCCTCTACCATCTTCACAATTCATAACTCATAAAAATAATATAAACATATAATCAAATTATTTAATTATTAAATACCCAATAAAATAACATATCTGTTACAATTTCCAATACATATTTTCCTTCCTACTTTCCTCTATAAAACACCAATTTCCTTCCAATTTCTTTAACCTCCTAACCATCCCTCCCCCTCCTAATTCCCTTCTACCCCTCTCCATTTTCCTCCCTTTCCTTCGAAAACAGAGGGTTAGTGATGATGATTATATATCTCATTATTTTTTTTAGGTTAGTGAAGTATAAAAATTTAAGGAAAAAATAAAATAATAAACAAAACAGAGGGTTAGTGATGATGATTATATATCTCATTATTTTTTTTAGGTTAGTGAAGTATAAAAATTTAAGGAAAAAATAAAATAATAAACGTGACGAGAAAAATTTATTATATATCACGGTACAATATTAATTGCCAATCAATTTGATCATCAACTTTTGGCAAAAACAAAATGATCATTGACTGGTCTCCGCACAAGGTAAAGCATATTCCCCATTTGATTATTTCGATTCCCTGACATAGAATAGAATGTTGTAAACTCAGCTCAGCTCAGTCCCCTTGTTGCTCCGCCGGAGGCAGAGATGTCTGTTTTGCTTGTTTCATTTCATCAAACCATAAGCCGGCGAAATTCAGCCATTTTCCCTTCTCCGCCTTCTCGTTTCTATCTCCATGTTAGTCTCGTTAGAGCCAAACCCTCTCCACTATATAATGAATGCCACTGCGCGCATATCTCCCATTGTACACAAACACAACTTAAGAAGGAAAAGGAAAACGTGCGAAACATTAAGAGAAAGAAAAGAGAGAGAGAGAGAGAGACATGAGAATGGGTAACACCAAAACCACCATCTTTGCTCTTCATCTACTCCTTATCTTCACTCTGGTCCTCGATACTACTGGTAAGTCCGTTAAGGAATATGGACATTATATTTGACATGAATCAGCGTTCAAAGATCAAAGTGTCGTTTGGTTTTGGTGATAGTTTGTTTCGAAAGTTACAATGCATGAAATGTCCACAATGCATTGTTTTTTCTGAATTTTCTGCGCAAACAATACATGCTTGATTTGACACAAACTATCACTCATAGTTAAATCTCAAGTTTTCGTTGAGATTGTTTGATGGAGATTGTTGTGTTTTCTTCTTCTTCCAAATATGTCCCTATATTTTTATGTGTTGCTTTTCTATATAAAAAAAACAAAAGGTAGAATACACCAATTTTCTTGTATACATGTATATTATTATGCATGCATTGATAACAATACATCGATTTAATTATCACCAAAACCAAACGAAGCCTAAATGTTAGTCTGCATATATATACATATAAGCACTGGCTGCACTGCTTTGCATTAATAAAGTTGCGCGTGGCTTCATCGCCGCAGGTTGCGTTTTCATTATTAGATTTGATGATTAATGATACGATACGTGCTTTGTGACAGCATTCATGAAGCCAGCTGGCAAAGAGCTGATCCCACGTCGTACTGTTGCAAAAGTGTCGTGCAGAGAAGTCTATGGAGTAGAGAGTGGAGACACTTGCTCGTCTGTGGTAACCAAATTTGGTGTGGATGAAGAACAGTTCTTTGCCATCAACCCTAATGTCAGCTGCGTTACTATCTTCGTCGGACAATGGCTCTGTCTTTCTGGCACCGCATGATATATTAATAATTAAGAAGATGCAACGGCAAATCTCTCTGTAGCTTCTTCTCTTCGGCAAGGGAGCTTGGGAAGGAATGCCCTCGATCTGTCTCTCTCGCCTTATTCGGGCGGGCGGCAAGTGTAATTCGCTTGCCTTGAATTGGCAATAAATAAATTAGAATGTTGGTTGGCCTCAAAGCAAATTACAACATTTTCAACTCCTAGATAAGGATTGTTGGATATGATACATGGAAAAACTTAGGATGGGAATATAGTTGTGTGGGGTTCGGTTTTCGTATATTCCATTCTCGTTGTTTTACGATTTTGATATCATAACTATCTCCGTGATTAAAATCGTACGGTGACGTTATAATATGACATACCAAAACCAAGCCGTATACATTCTGTGGAAAATTCACTCTTAACATCATTGAACAATCAAATTTCTTGATATAATCTAAATTTTTTCTTAGAATGTCAATGTCAATTTAAAAAAAATTCCATTGTTTGTAAAACTAAGAGAAAATGAGCAAGATTTAAGTTTTAAGAGATAATTATGACGTCAATGATATGAATGACCGAAATGCTTAATTGAGTGAGTCTAAAATATAGTTATAATACATACTTTGGTGGATTCGGTGTGGATACTTAAAATATTAAAACCCTGCCAAACTCACTATCCTCCTCATTGAGTTCGGAAAAAACCTACCCAAAAATAATATCAATTAGATTTTTCCTGACAAAATTGATTCGAGTTCGTTTGGTTACCCACGGCGATGGGTTTCTACCATCTAAAAAGCAATCTTCATTTCATATTTGTTGAAAAAAAAATTCTTCGATAACCAGAAATCCGTAAAAAAAAAATTACTTCAAATGAATCACATATATTATATAATTTGTTTGACGTTATATTAAACTAGCTTGAACCCTGACCTTTGGGCAGGTAAATTTTTTTGAACTTTCAATGTAGGTGATTTCTCCATCTCATTTTTGTATTAATTATTTTGAGTTGAAAATTTTCAAGGAGAACTAAATTGTTTGTCGTAATTAATTCCATAAACTCGACCACAACAATTTTAGTAAACATTTTTACTTTTCATTTCAGACATGATAAATAAATTTATAATTATATTATAAAGAGTCTAAGTTGTTACTAAAGTGCTAAAGAAATTTTAATATTTTAAGTAGGCAGATGAGGGGTTCAGTTCGAGGGGTTAGGATTGTTTGGTTTGTTTAAATTTTGAAATTTTATTAGGGGTATATAAGTCATTTATCATTAGAGTTAGGGCGACCGTTAGCAATTTTAAGGGTGACATTTAGCGATTCAGTAAAAAGGTAAAAAAAAAAAAAAAAGAGAGTTCTATGGGCGGTTTTTAGGAGAGAGATTGTAGGCCTTGTTTTAGAGACTAATGACGTGGACGCACGGAATTTGTTTTAGGCTGATGTGGCATAGGCTTAGTTCTAAAACTGCTTTAATATATTTTAAGATTTAAGATGTGCTGAAATAGTTGTTGGGCTAACTTTTAAGCTATTGATTACTACCAATAATCAGTACAAGGGTTTCCGATAGATTGCAATTGTTCGTGCTTTTTTTTTCCATTGGAAAAGAGTACTATAGATTGCTCACACCTCGTGGCTTTATTAGGAGAATGCTCTACAACTTCCAAAATTGATATTTGATCAAACAACATATATAGTGAGAGACAAATAACGATCGAGATAGAGAAGAAAATTGCATAGCCCATATCAGTCAGTTGATAACTCCATCATTCAGTACGTACACCGTCAGCATCACGGGCGAGTTTCTCCAATATGAAGAACACAATCAACACCGGTAAAATTGCATCCAAAACCCCGTAGGAAAATCCAACCAAGATCACTAGGAATAGGCACAACAAAATGCGCTTCTTATTCAAGAATCCACCTCGTCTCCCCTTGATAGGTGCTGCTGTTTTGCTATCAGTAATGCTGCTGCTGCAATCACATAAAGAAAAGGTTATGTGTTCAATAAAATGCCCCAAGTTATCCTCAACAAAATGAGCTATGCATGAAACATATATATATAACAAGCAAAGAGAGTGAAGCTAGCATGCATATACTCTTGAATCGTGTCAGCCATGGGATTATCTTCACTAATTGTCTCTGATTTTCCCCCCAAGTCTTCTGGAAGCTGCTAATTAACAAGATAAAAAAAAGATGACATCAAAAAGACCATGAAAGAAGCAAATGAATAAAGAAACCGCCTAAGCTGCGATGAAGATTAATGTGTCAAGAACCAGCTGGTCCCAATAACTCGAGTTGTTGGGAGAGGTTCAATCGTGGATCATATACCACAACACTAACATAATGTACCTCTGGATTCGACATTGGAACAACATGATCATCAGTTTTACTGCTTGTTTCTTGTTTCAAAGGAGTGGACTCCATGCGTTTTCTTGCATATTTTCGATCGTCATCCGCCGACACATCCTTCACCATGTCATATAACTCTTCCTTCACAATGTTGTAGCCCCTCTTCAAGATTTCAGTTGCCTCCTTCATTCTTTGGACGGCTGAAGAAAACCCAGCACGGATTCTTGACGCAGGCATTAATGTCGTCTCTACCGCCGGCTCCTTGGTGTTTGCTGTGATGTTATTAGGACCATCTTTGGACAAGTTGCCACTCGGCTCGTAAGCAGCAGACTCTTGCTTCACCATCATTTTCACCTAAATAAAAAAGAGATGCTGCAACAAGATTAATTAAGATACTAATGGCTTGTCCAAACAAGATTAATTAAGATATTAACAACCTTTACCTTTTCGGCACTTGCTGCCCTGAGGCCATCAATAATATGCTTGTACAGCTTCTGATCAGTTGTCTGCTCCGTTCTGCATGCATTTCCGCCACATTTCACCATCTCAAACCCTAGCTCCCTTGACGTAACTATATGAACTACCAATACCAAAGCGGCATCTATACTAACAAAATAACTACCACAATAGATTACCTAATTTTAGTTATTCGTGTTTCTGCTTAAATTTGCTTAAGGATATGCGTTTCAATTCAAATACGTGCATGTATTTGAATTATATTGATTAGGGTTCAAATTTTATGATTCCTTTTTTAATATGGGGTTTTCTACAAAACAAAACAAAAAACAATCATGGAAAACACCAGCAACCTTGACGAACCCTACGCCACAAACGGCAAACCGAGTATAAACTGATGAGCTATAGTAAAAATCTGACGAACAAAACCCAGAAGAGAAGAGAAGAGAAGAGAAGAGAAGAGACAGCGAAAAGAATTGCATGCGCGGATGAGGGAAAACCTGAGGAGGCTTCAGTTGGAGCTGGAGGAGGAGGAGAGACCGCCTGGGAAGTAGCATAAGCGTTCTAGTAGTTGCCATGATGATCTCAAGACGTACGGTGAAGATCCAAGCTAGAGTTGCTCAATTGGTAAAGCTAGAGTATTAACTATTCATGGGATCGAATCAAAGAGAGAGGGATTCGACGGCACAAAACAAAACAGCTCCGACGAAAGAGACGACATGAGAAGGGAAGGGAACTAACAAGGGCAAAAAAGAAAACTATTGCTTGGCCGGCACTCCTATCCTATCCCTATGGGCCGAATCTTCCAATGAGAATAATTGTGATCCTTCCTAGTATAACAACTACAAGAGGAAATATTAAACATAATTAATCCTGCATAAATGTCATTATAAAAAAGAACAATTATGCATAAATGCACCTTTAATTTTAAGTGAGATGAGATCTAAACGATCAGAATCATTAAGTGCTTTTTATTTTTTTTTTCTTATTTTTTTAATTGAATTTTATTTTTTAGTTTTAACTTGAATTTCAAAAAGTTTTGCACATATGCAATAGGTTCATTCTGATAATATTCATTTCAATGTATTTTTAAGAAAAAAAAGGCAAAATTCACTTCTATAGCCATAACTTTGCACTTTGTGACAAATATAGTCAGATTCTGAAAAATACACCGAAATAGTCATTCCGTCCAATAATGTAACTGAAAACATAACGCCTGCTGACTGGACAAACGAATTCAAATGGCCGAGTTTAATTTGGTCTACATGTATGCCACGGTGGAAATGAATTAATTATTTCTCATTAATTATTTTTTATCCTACTTTACCAAATTTTTTACCTTTTTCGCAGAAGACCCAACAGATGCCCCTTTCGTTCTTCTCCATTCCTCTTCGCGAAGACCCAGCAGAAACCCTAAATCCCCACTCTCACCTCGATTCTCTTCGCCGGTGACTATGAATTGACCAACACAGTCATCCGGTCATCTCGCCTTGGTCGATGTGTCCTCTCGCCTCTATCATCTGGTCATCGAACTTCCCTCCATACCCATCTCAATTGATGAACACAGAGGTGGCGACTCACCATCAACCAGCTTAATAGTAAGTTTGGACGTCGCTTCCAGTCGCCGACGGCGAAGAGGATAAGTAGATTGTATCGATCTTTCTCGGCGAAGGTCAAAACTATCGATTCCTTTAAAAAATCCAGAAACGAAGCTCGAACTAATCTGTTATTGGTAAGTACTCCTCACCTCTTCCTGTGCCTCGCCTCTGTTACTCCTTGCCCCTCGCTTCTGTTACTCTCACCTCTGTTTGTGTGGACGGATGTGAATGGTGGGAACCCTAATCCGAAATTGCTCCTTTATAGGAATAACCAAGCTGTAAAGTTGGGAAAGCGCCGCATGGGTTTGGAGGGACCACAAGAATCTGTTTGTCACGAGATTGCCCCTACAACATACGGTAAGAAGCTGAAATATGTGGATAGAACCGTCAATGTAGCATGACGAATTCATTGCTTTGAAATTGTCAGAACCTAACGTGATTTCTTTAATGGATGTTGTTGTGTTGCTTGTCTGGTAGTGGTTTGTTTATACTATTAGTAACTAATGCTTATTTAATTAAGCTTAGGGCTTTAGTTTAGTAGCTAATCAATTAAACCTCATTTGCAGAGATGTCAGATGCTTGGGACAAGAATGATCCAAATCAGAATGGTGGTCAAGATATATCAATAGAGGCAGATGGTGATGCAGTTGCATCCGTTGCACGAGACATCTACCATGTTTACGATTCTGAGGATGCCATGACATTCGACGATGAGTACCACGAAGCTAGGGCTGCCTTACATTCCTATGGGGAAGGGAAGAGAAGGAAGGTGAATGCTAGGTTGGTTGTCAATGGGGATGAGGTTGATCAGCTTGAGGAGTTTGAGGACAACGCAACTGAAGTTAATGAGGATGAAGGAGATGATGCAGCTCCACAACCACCTCATAACTCACAACACTCCACTTCCCACCAGGCTTCAGAGGCACCTCCACAGCAGCCTCAGCAAGATCACAGAGAGACTTCACAACATTCGAGCTACAGAGGATCTGAGGAGTCTCTTCATGTCAGGCCAAACTTGTCAGACAAGGCAGGTGGTGATCTGGACGATGGCGCACCACATTATGATCCCACATGTGATCACAAAGCTTTGAGGTTTGTATGTAAGATGAAGTTTGCTAGTGTGGTGCAGTTCAAAGATGTTGTGGTGAGGCATGCTGTGGCAGCTGGTGCTTGTCTGCGATGGATTCGGAGTAACCCTATGAGGAGGGAGGTTAGGTGCAAAGATCCCAACTTCAAATGGAAACTTTATGCTAGCTGGTTCAGAAGGAACAAGTGCTTCATGATCCGGAAAGTAGGGCTGGATCATTCATGTGCAAGAAGTCTCCGGGTTAATCAAATAACTGCCAGCTGGATAGCTTCTGACATGCTTGAAAGGTTCAGAATTAACCCTACCTGGGCACCAGATCAGATTATGGCCGAGATCAAGCTTAAACACAACATGGATGTGAAGAAGAGAACTTGTTACAGAGCCAAAGTTGCAGCTATTAAGCTTTTAAGCGGGTTCTTGGTTGATGAATACAAGGGTCTCCGGAGTTATGTTTTAGAGTTAATGAAAAGAGATCCTAATGGAAGATTTGTTCTGGAAGTAGATCCACATCCAAATGCTTATAAGTGTTACTTTCGAAGGCTGTTCATTGGATTCTCATGCTTGAGGGATGGATTTTTGCTTGCATGTAGACCTATGTTTGGGTTAGACGGCTGCTTCCTCAAGGGCGAGGTGAAGGGCATGCTTGTATTATTATGAACCTGGAAACAGCTTATGTTATGATCTATTATGGGTTCAAAACAGTTTATGTTATGTATCCAAGTGGTGTGAACAGGTTACGCACTTGTTATGTAATGCATGTTATGCACTTCTTTTGTCCACAAATACAGATAGTGAAAAGGTTAAACCAGCTTTAGGTTATTCAACGCTTTGATCATTGAATTCCAAAATGTTATATACCAAATTCAAGTAGATAAACTTACATACCAATATAAGTTCGACATCGACCTACATACCCAACTTACATGAACGATAACTTACATGCCACAATCCTTCCTCCACAGAACCACAAACAAAAACACATTCATGATCAACAAAACAGTCAACATATATCTCATGACCGGGATCTCTCCAGCCAATCTAACTTGGCAAACTTGCATCCAATTCCTTAATTCTTCTGTCACCAACTTTTTCCCTTCTTCCTCTTCTCAGCATTGGATTCGGCCAACCTTAGTCTCTCCTCCAGGTTCATAATAATACTCTCCATCTCATGGTTCCTTAACTCTAATGGATCCTCATTGCCATTCACCCACCTAAAAAAATCTAAATCCTTTCCCATCCTGCAAACCATCGACCCTCCTTAGCCAACAAAACAACAAACAAATACAATCATCAATTACAATGGAATGACCCTACCAGCCAATAACGACAGCCATAGAAATGCCTTCCTGGATTCAACTCAGTCCCAGAGGTATTAATCACAGTTGGGACATTGTGTTCGCATAGGAAAGAAAACCCACTCTTGACTCTGGTTGAGCCCGAATCGCAACCATTCTTGTGAACACCCCGACTGCCCCTTTGTGACATCGTTAGGGATGGGAGATGCGGACTGTCGACGGAAATATGGAAGGGACGAGGGGAACCAGGGGTTGGTGAAATCGGCGAATGGGTAGGGAAACAAGCGATGCGACGACTGCGGAATCACAGTTGTCCACGGCGTCGAGGGTTCTTCGCCGGATTGACACAGCCGCTGCGATGAAGATGGAAGCCGATTTCGGTTTTTTCTGGGAGGAGGAAGATGAAATCGAAAATAAGATGGAGGAGAAGTCGTTGGGCATATTTAATTGCCCCAAACGATTCTCTCTCCTCCGGATGACGTGGCGCTTTGGTGGCAAATTCATTCATGTTAGCGCCGACGTGGAGTCCATAATTCGGCCACGTCAGCGACGTGAACATGTAATTAACTGCGTCCCAGCTGACGGCGTCACATTTAATAACGGAAATGACTATTACTGTCAACGCATTTTCAAAATTTTGGCTATTTCTGTGTATTTCTCATAATCTGGCTATATTTGTCACACAGTGCAAAGTTATGGCTATAGAAGTGAATTTTGCCAAAAAAAAAAATTTATATCACCAATAGTCCAGTACCACTCTTTACCACCCTGGTACCACCTAGTATCACTTGGTACCATCTAGTAAAAATTGAATTAATTATTATCCACATAATAACGTACAATTTGATATATTTTGGAACGGAAAACATCTACATAGAGATGGTATGAAAAATATACCATGTGGGTACAAATTATACACCAAGCCGCATAATATACATCATTGCAAACTTTTTTGGCCGAAATGTATCGAAACATATATTATTCTATAGATCAAAATTAATTCTTTTTTACCGAGCTAAAATGAAAAATTGAAAATATCCAATTAAAAAGTCAACTTGATCCCAATCATTTTCTCAGTGAAAGGGCTCAAGGTTGGTCATAAATTTTGCCTAATGTTGGGGTTGTGCATTCTATATCTAACTTAAGATTGTCAATCTTTAGGCAGTACTCCCTCTGACAACGTGACCAGATGTCGCCACATATGAAAGAAATCACATCCATTTCGGACTCCACTACTCCCTCTGACAACAACCAATCCAACCCAACCATCTCTCATCTTCTTAGATCCCATATTGTAACCAAATCCACCACAAACTTTGAAGAACCAGTCATCAATTCTAAAACTTCTGTTGTATTTAACACTTTTTGGATAGAACACTATACTTGTCATTATGCAAAAATAGCTATATTTATCATTAATATCAAAGTTTTGACTATATGAATGTATTTTTAAATATGACGTAGCTAATAGGTGACATGACGTAGCTATTTTGAAACTAACGTGGCACTGACATCCATATCAACTTGTTAACAATTTGAATGCTTATGGCTGTATATGTCACACAAACTTTCAAATATGACTATATATGTCATAATTTGAAAATTTGATTATAATTATTGATTGTCAGAAAGGCCAAAGTTATAGTATATGATTGTATTTTGAACTGCCACAAAATTTGACTCATCAAACTACATAACAGTCATTCTATAATAGTAAGTTTGTCAGGAGTAAGTATTTCTACGACGACAATGTATGAGTTGGCAAATTTCTCTATCATCCTCCGTTGCCAGAAGATGTACAAAGAATGTTGGATCAAGTTCATGAAGTGGTTTCAGTATCCGCGCCAAGAAAGAACTGCTCGGCCGAAATTGGTTTGGTTTTGAATCGATAGTATACTTTCTTCCTGGCATATGAAGAACTCTCGACTGTTATAACAATCTTCCCTGGCTCACTGATGTAGTATGAGTTTCTAGCATTTTCCGTGGGTCTTTTCACCTTACCGGCCCTTATCAGGATGGTATAAGAGCCTTCGTCGTCAGGAATGAACTGTTCCTTGAAACTCACATCCCATCCAACTATAGTGTAATCCCATACAATCATCACCCCACTCTGAAACACACAAAAACCAATAATAAGTAGTCAATTACAGGATGGACACTGGAAACTCTCACAATGATGGTTCAGATCTCGTTTAGTACCTCATTAACTGGAATGTTAACGTGGCCGACTGCATTTGCTCTGATCCTATGCTCCAGCGCTTTGTTCTCTGAGGAAAACTCGACATCGTTATCCCTTTTCAGACCACCATATTGAGCCGGAACTTGCTCTATTGATATGTACCTTGAAATCGTCAAATACAGAATTGCATTCAGAAAAAAGAAAAAAAAAGGAATGGGGAGCACTGTGTTCGTTAGAAGAACCTTGCAATTTTTTTGCATAGCTTACTTCGAAAGGGTCTGCGTTACATTTGAAGGCCTAGCTAGGATGAACTTCTTCCTTGCTCTTGGGTTCATCAGCTTCTTGGTGACAACTCGCGATGTGTAGTACCAGAATGGAACATTGATCAGTATCTGCAACAGGTATTATAAACCACCATCTCAACAACGAACATTATTTAATAACAGTCCGAATTTAACGCAAGTAAGCCTTACATTCTTGTTGATGATTCCCGGATAGTTGGACTGGAACAAAGTGACAATCTTCTTGCTAATAGAGCTGAGCTCTTTCATGGGCGCAGGGAAGTTCTTCAGATCAGTGATCTGGACGATCGAATCAACCCCACCGGACTTGAAGCTCAGCTGCTTGATGCTCTTCTCCAGGTTCTGGACCTTGAGCCTCAGGAAATTCTCGCGGCTCTCTTCTGTGCCCAAAACTTTGGTGCACAGAGCCTTGTCCTTGAACGCCCCGTACACCGTGTAATACAATGGGCGGCCTTGCTTGTCTGTGCTGCCCGTATGAACAACATCCTTCAGCTCGTCGTTGTCGCGGGTCAGGAGATCCTCGTCGAGGATCGAGTCTGTTCCGTACTCCTTGCGCCATTTCATGACCTTGCGAAGCATGTAGAAAGCCGAACGGACCTTGTAGTTGTTGGCCTTGAGGAATTTGAGCAGCACGATTTCGGTGCCTTCGTGGTCTCTGCTTGGAAGCAGAGGAACCCCCCAGAGGGAAATGTCCTCCCGCAGCTGTTGCTGCTCCTTGGCATTCCTTTTGCTCTTCCTGCAGGAGAGCAGTTTCTTGGGCTTGTCTACGAGGTAATTCTTACAAATTGCATCCTCCACCAGGGTCTTGAATTTCAGCAATGCTCGTTTCTTCCGCATCTTGTACTCCACAGGATCCTTCGGGCTCTCGAATTCCTTGTCGATTCCTGCATCTTCATCGCAATACGTACAAATTTCTTCGTCTTGGCTTTCGTTGGTGACGACTGCGTTTGTATATCCATCGATGTCCTCATCTTCTTGTTCTTCTTGTTCTTCTTCTTCCTCCTCCTCGTCATTCTCTTCTTCTGCTTCTTCTGATGTGTCCTGTGATTTCCTCTCACATTTCTTATCCATTGTTGAATCCTGAAGAAGGGTTCTCCGGATTCAGGAATAGAGCAAGAAATGAGAGGGGGAGAGATGGATCCAGCTTTTGCTAAATTTTGAAAATATGTTCTCTCCATCTCCTTCGTGTCAAAAACCAACATTTACATAAAACAAGAAACGAGAGAAACTCTGTAATTCTACAGCTTCCCAAATGCCAGCAAGAGGGGGTTTTGATTTCCACAAGCTATAATTGTATGACCCTAAAAATAACAAACGTATTAGGTCGGTGGCTTCATGTGTCCTGAAATTTGGCACAATGAAAAATATACAAAAAGGTCAGTTTATAAATTAAGAGGCGCGTATTAGATGCATTTTAGGCACTGTAAGCACATCCGTCCATATCGTATTGTAATCACTGTTGCCCGTGACTACTTGTTCATTCGCTTATCGCTATTAGTAAATGTCGTTCTATAAATTTTCTTCATAAACAAAAAACCAGAGAAAATTTTGATAGAAGGATCTAATTTCAAGAAACAAAAGTAGCCTGTAGCCATAAATAGATCTTTTTGCTTTTAAATTTTGGTGACATATATTTGAAATCCATCATAAATGAGTATCGTGATTACCTTCAAACTTATATCTTAGAAAATGAAGAACACCAATTTGCCTTCAAACAAACAAACAGCCTAAGATATATAAACAATTAAACATTTGTTTCAGGGGTCCATCTCACAGCTACATACGTTTTTCAACTTCCAAGGCTCAACAGATTCAGAAAATATTATACTAAACAGTTTCCACATTTTCCTTGTAGGCGCCATAAACAAACCTGAGCTAAATATCATTCATCAGGTTCATCTACAAACTAGAAATAACATAATCTTCCCTTGAGACAGTAAACAGATAACCTAATCTCGACGGATGTTACTGCTTCAGTGCTTCGTATTTACACAGCCAACTCAGCTAAAGCTACCTGCAATTTACAGCAATCCTGATGACTCTCGATATCCAGTCAGGTCAAATGTCAGAGTTCTCGAGCAGCTGCACCCATTTGAAAAGGCATATACAAACAACTACATCAGATCGTTGATCTAAAGTCATAGCTACTGGGTATAAAAACAAGCTTAAGAAGATTTTCTAAACAAAATGAGTGAGAGATAGACTAACCCTCTATCTGCATCCCGGTAAACCCCCACCAAAGCTTCGGCCTTGTCATAAAAGCTGTCTTTCAGAGAGATCACTATACTCTGGAAACCACTGCCACTCTCACCATCGCTTTCCATGTTAAGGTTAGCACCATCGTGCTCCTGATCCACCCGAGTCCCTGCTTGACATGATTTTGAACGAATGAAACCAGCTACCTTGGCGACATTTAAGTTATCCAGCGCAGCATCAACCTCATCCAATATGAAAAATGGCGACGGCCTATAGCTGAAAAAGACACAAGAAAGCCAAAGAATTAAGTGCTGAACAAAGAAAGTACCACTGTTCATTATTTGAAGAAAGAATGGATGAAGACATCAAGTCCAGAATACACACCACACAACTAAGAACAACTTCTTGCTATTCAGAGGATTACATAAAGAAAACTGAATATTAGTACTAATTGAAACCAGCAGCCAACCTTTCTTCCCGCTTATCATTAATGAATCCTATTATTTACATACCTGTGGATGGAGAAAAGCAAAGCCAGTGCTGCAACAGTTTTCTCCCCACCAGACAGCTGTTCCATATCTCGGAAACGTTTGGTTGGAGGCATAGCAGTGTATTTGATACCATGTAGATAAGGCTCATCTTCATTCTCTAAGTTCAAATACGCAGTTCCACCCAAGGGATGTGAGCCACTCTTCGTCAATTGCTTGTAGATCTTATCAATTACTTTTGATATATGGTTGAAAGCTTCCATGAATAACTCATGTCTGCAAAACCAAATCAAGTCAGAACGGCAATGCATTTAACTCCCAAGTGATCACGTTTGCCATCTTCCCAGGTTACCAAAAGAGAGAGCACAGCAAGTTGAAGAAGACTAAGCATTATGAAAAATAACAAGGATAACTAAACCCCCAGTACCATTAGTTTAGTAATAGAAAATCCAATTCATTATTCCTAGTTCGTTGGTGAAAACCTTCCTTTTTTCTCCCCTTCCGCTCTCTTTTTCTAGGCCAGTCCTGCTGCAATGAAAACAAAGTTTTGACCGTTCTTGAAGTTTAATTGTTCATAGTTTCTCCAATACGAAAACTTGGGCATGCACCCAGAAGATGGCATAAACGAATCCAGCCAGAAGATGCAGAACTCAGCCATTAGATTAGTTCTCTCATTCACACCTCACAGAAGTGCCCAATATACTCAACTTAACATTTCCCAACAAAATTATTCAACTTACAAAAGGGCACTCCCAAAAAAATTTGAACCATTTGGCAGGTGAAAGAACCCTCTTCTTTCATTATATCCATTGACATCCAAACACAGTTTCCAATTCTTCAAGTTCAAAACAGCACCATGTTATGATACTCTTGACCATTTTCATATTGGGAATTTTGTCAGGGACCCCATTTCTTTCTGGACTTGCTACTCTTTTAGACCTGAGATAAAAGACTAGGGGCTTCAACTTCTGGAATAGAAAAGACCACACAGGTTAGTTCTTTCTTACCTATTGTGCCTAACCGAGTTATATGCTTTGGTGACCTGATTCTCCTCCTTGCTGGCAGTGGCAAATTCTTCAGATGCTTCTCTTTCCTTCTCCAGCAAAGCCTCATACTGCTCCAGAGCCTTCAAGTTTGGAGCAGTTCTATCTATTTCAGATCTCAAGGAATCCATTTTTCGCTTGAATTCCAGATCGATCTTCTCTCTGTCTGAAGTCCCCTTATCTTGAAGAAGAGTTCTATGCAGCTCACTAAACTCAAAGAATGGGCCCGGAATTGACGAATCAGTATCCATGGGATCCGAAATAATTGGAAGGCTGATATGCTCCAATTCACACTTCTCCACAATATCTTGCTTCCGAGACAAGAGTTGCTCAATCTGTGCCTCCTGGTTAAACAAAAGGGAAGATGTGATTACAACTCTATATGTTCTCAATTTCCCTACATTCTTCAACGTTCAGACTGTTCTGGATTAACAATAAGAAACTGACGACTTGAAAGCTGGACTGAGGAGTTACCTTGGAGCTTATCTGACGGCCAAGCTTCGACAAACTTGTAGCAGCAGATGAAGCCTGCTTCTTCCATTCCTGAATATCCTTGTCACAACTTTCTGCTTTGGACTTCCACTCTACAAGGATTAGGGAGTTCGAACTTAGCACATTTAAAGATGCATCTACAAACACCCAGTTCAAGATTAAATAGAAGAAAAAAAACCCAAAGAAAAGTCATCATATCGACATTTCGTTTTCTTAAACTAAATCATTTCGCTTATTCTATACTGTAAAGTTCATAAATACATATAGATGTATCTTATATTTTGATGAGCCACCTGAACCTGCTTAGTCAGATTCGGTTGGTTACCTTTTCTCGAAATTGTCATTATTTAAACATGCTTGTAGCTGTCATTAAGTTTGTAATACTTTGTTTGACCTTCATTGACAATAAGTTCTAGAACGTAAAGAGACATTATTGTTGGCAAGGACACTTGATCACTGAAATACTAAGAGTCTGCTTTAACATTCACTTACACGGATAAATTTCTCAATCTCAAAAGCACTAAATAGTAAAAATCGCAGTCAGTCAGAACTGTTGGATTTCTACACCTAATGATGGACAACTCATGCACAGCAGACAATTAAATAGTTAAAAATGTAACATCCTTTAAAACATTAGATTATATATATTAAGCATTGCAGTAGTTGAGATTTCTTTCATTTCTTTTAAGAACAAGATTCTGTTACATATATAAAAAAAAAAAAAAAAAAAGGCATTCGGGAAAGGCTGTACTAGTACCGCAAAAAAGAAAAAAGGTTATCGTACATTCGTACAATAAGAACTACTTCCAAAATGTTAAGGGAGAACAGTAGAAGTACCTTGAACTTCTTCCTTCAACTTATTAATCTCACTCGTCATGTCCTCCGTAGCTGACTTGACATCAACCTCTCTTTTCTCAGCATTTTTCAATTCATTCTTTAAATTACCTAGAGAAGATTCCAGCTTTCTAATCCTTGCATTTGCGTCCCGCTTTTGCTCATACTCCAATCTGCAGGGGCAAATAACAGAATCTTTATTGCAAATGAGGGGAGAAGAAAATTTTGCAACTAGCAGCGGTTCTGAACCAGTTCAGTTCATAATGCACTTAATGTGCAAGAAAAAGAATTCACTATTGCCCTGAAAACATTAGTGTACCACCCAAGTCAAAAGCGAGCTAGCAAGAAATAAACCACACAACATTAAATGCGATGAAAACCAGCACTCACAAGCAAAATGTTGTTGCCTCCTTAATCCCTTAAGCTTTATCATTAGCAAATTTCTTCTGAGATATATGAAATCAAACTGCGATGAAAGAAAAGCAGAAGCTAGGGGACAAATGAACAATGTGTTCTTCGTCCAGACATTTACCAAGTTTCCTTCACTTCTCGCTCAAGTAAGCATACAATGGAAAGAAAAAAGAAACTCTAAAGTCAGATAAGCTGCATTGCCGCTCTAATTTTTCTCCCGCGACTAATTTCGAGATTACCACAAAACCTAACCATACCTTCAACGGGAGAAAGATAATCCTATGACCATTCTGATTGTTACTTCCTGATGTCACATACTGTTCTATATACAATGCATGTAATCTTTAAACTCAAGGTCCCAAGAAAAGGGCAAAGCCAACCAACAGTCCCAGGTACACAGAAAACCAATTAATATTGAAATGGTAGGATACACAATCACTGAGCATATACTCTAAACAGTATGTACTGAAGTTCAGCTTCAAGATTAATTCACAACTTTAATGGGATAACTTCATTCCAGTATCTGATGCGAGAAGCGGGCATACAAAGAAATTAAAATGCATCGTTATAGTAGGTCCTAACAATAAACTAAAGTTTAAAAACCAATTAACTAAAGAGAAAACATCTGCACTGCAGCAGCATAACAATAGGCAGACTAAACAAGGACAAATAAGAAAGCATCTGGAGAGAACATAACCAGTATTTGCATGAGACAACAAATGACAAGTAATTGAATAGAAAGATAGGATCGCATATTATAACTAAACTAAGAGTTCCAAGTGATCCATAGAAAAAGAACACAGATAACCAGCTATATGGATAACTTACTGATACTTCAACTTTGACAGCTGGTTGCTTAAACTAAGCCTTTCTTCAGCAACATGTTGGGCAGCCTTGAGATTGTTCTCTTCAAATTCACGTATGTTTGCCACACCAACAGAATTACTGAAGTCCTTGTAAATCCCATCAACTATCTCATTTATTCTTTTCTCCAACTCCCTAATGTCATTACCTCTGCTGCCAATAGTACCTTTCAACTACACAAGGTTCATAAGGTATTAGTTTTATGGTTTTCTTCTTTTTTTTTTTTTTTTTTTTCCTATGAAGTACAAGTTTCAGTTGCTATGTTGGTAATACAATGAGATGAATGCAAAGCAAGTTACTATCTGAAAATTACCTTCTGCAATTCAGGATTTAGACGACGAATTTCTTTTCCAATAATTTGCTTCTCTTTTTTCAAGTTCTCAAGCTTGTCCTCAATACTTTTCTGAAAGAAAATTTTTGGGGAAGCATCAAAGTAAATCAGCATATGGGGGCTACAAAATCTACACCATCCAGACAAGAATGAACTAGCAGCCCACATACACAGTAGAAATATCACATTAATAAAATTGAATTACCTTCTCAATCTCTGCATACTGGATTTTCTTTTCAAGACCACTGATCCTGCCAGACGCTTCAGACTCTATCTGAATAATTTCCCTAAGTGACCCTAGCTCTTCTAGTTCAGACTCAAACTGCTCTTTCTTCTTCTTCAATCCTAAAGAATGGCAACATAAAACCTTAAGGCACCAAGAACAGGAAAAGAGAAGATTTATCTGGAATTAAACCAACCCTCAATCTTTTTATCATCCCATTGCTTTGATCTTGCCTCCATCCCGCCACTAGTACCGCCAGTCATTGTGCCAGACTTTGTGAGGAGAGTCCCATCTACAGTTACAACTGAGATGGGAAAACCAAATAGAACGACTTTCAGTCAACATTGACAATGGAATAATAAGTATTGAGATTTTATCTCATCTCTCACATTTAGGAGTTGAGAAGGCTTATAAGCATTTACCTTTAAGTCTCTCTCCCTTCCCTTCCCATCCAAGTTTTTTGGCTTCATCAAGGTCATCACAGACCATAGTATTGCCAACCGCAAAGAGTATAGCCTTCTCCAGGGCAGAAGGATAGTTGATCACGTCAAAGACGAGCTTTGCAGAACCCCCTAAAGTACGCAGCCTTTCGGTAATTGGCTTTACACGGACAGACCGAAGGGGTATAAATGTCATAGGGGGAAGCCTTTGCTCTTTCAAATACTGCACAAAAGACCAAACTCAAGATTTCCATGGAAAAGATCTTCCAAAAATTGAGCAAACACAATGACCAACAAGTAAATCAGACAGCCATGGCAAAATGGAGGAAGACAAGCATGATAGCTAGCTACCTTGATACATTCTTTCCCTGTATTTTCATCCTCAACAACCACAGCATCCATAAATCTGCCCATAGCTACGGTGAGAGCCAGGTTATATTTCTTTTGGGTCGGTCTACAGAGCTCAATTATACGTCCATGAACTCCTTGAAAAAGGCGTTCAAGAGTCTTAACTGTTTGGGACAACCTAGCATCCCTGTCGTTTTCATTTCTATCAGCTTTCAATTCACGCAATTGGCTATCTATCTCGCCGATCTTGGACTTCAAGTTCTGATGCTTGTTCCTGATAAAAGAAAGATGTGGTCAACATATAATGTTATTGTAATTTCATACTGTTTCTCAGTGAAAAAAGTTTCAATAAGTAATGAGGTAAATATATGCAAGAAAAGCAAATGCCACCTACAAACATATACCCTTGGCATTCTAAGCAAATAACCACGAGTAAAAAGGCTAACTGAAAAAGAAATCATGAAATGAAGAAGAATTAATACAACCACTGACTTGGTTTCCTGATGCATATCTCGTATCCCCCGCAGTTTTTCTTTCAGATCTGTCAGTTCAGTTTTACGGCTAGCAGAAGTGTCAACAGTATTTTTAAGTTTTGCTTGCATTTGCTCCTTCTGTGAATCAAGTTCCTGCTCCCGATTTCTCAACTGTTGAAGATTCTCTTCCAAATTCTTCTCAGCTTCCATATCAGCATGTTGATGCCTGTCCAAGACCTCCTTTTCATCCCTAAGCCTGCTAGTTTCCATCCCAGCTTTTTCTTTGCTGCAACATTAAAGCTCCCTTAGTGAACAGTGGCAAGAAAATTCTAAGCCACAAATGAGAATCTTAAATCTTATTAGTGTAGGAATAACCACCCTACACGAGAACAATATTTTTCCACATAGGCTAAGTAGTCTTTTTTCCGTTTTTATCTCGGAACTTCTTGATTTGATATTCCAGAAATAGGCACGAACGAGGACAGTCACTGAAGATACCTCTGCCTCAATCATCCAATGGGAGCATTAGATTGTTATCAAACAAAAAAACTGTGAATGCGAAGTACTATGAACTCACATCTGAAAGTAGTCGGTCAGTTGACTGTCAGCCAAAGGAAGTTTGCCGCTACTGTCTCGACTTCTCTCGTTCAGATCATCCAGTTTTGCTGCCAGATCCTGTATGCCACGTTGTAGTTCTTTTACCTCACTCTCGTGTTTCTTCCGTTCTTCTTTTTTCCTATCAAGATCCTTGCTGGTGCTCTTAATTTTTGACCTTAACCGTGTCATTTCCTCATTTAATTTCAGAAGCTCAGGTTGCTACAGAACAAACAAGAAAACAAGCATCCGGGGACAACAGAAGGAAATTTAAAGTTACTCTTCTTAAACCAGGATTCAACAGAAAAGTTTACTCCCCCGGGGAAAAAAAAACAGAAATATTACATGTACAGACAATGCTTACATGTTTTTCAAGCTTAAGGCTTTTCGTATGGATCTTCTTTTCACAGTTGGAAAGCTCTTTCAGGTACCTAGCCTGCTCCTTCTTCTTTTTATCAGCTTCGTGTTCAAACCTCTCGAGTTCCTCCATAACATCTTGACGGTTCTTTGTTTCAGCTTCAAGTTCTTTATTTATCCTTGTAATGTCATTATCTATGGTGAACAACTGCCATAAGAAATGCTCTCTCTTCACAGATTTCTGGATCATCAATAAAAGAAATCTGTTAACGGCTGGACAAGCAAGATTGGCATCATAATTGGAAGCAAGACGATTGGGCCAATGCCCCTCTATACGTCATGTGGCCTTACAGCTCATACCAGTTCAGCTTGCAAGCGATTGTGTTTCTCTGCTTCTTCCTTCTGCGCTTTCTTTTGCTTCCTTTCACCTACTATTGTTCTTTTCTTTTGATAGGCAAGTGCAGTTTTCTCTTCTGCCCTCGCTTTCTGTTCTTCCATATCCTCATAATCCCTCTTTAATTCCTCGGACCCAGAAATTTGCTCAAGCAGAGCAGTCAGCTCCTTCGGATTCTTGGATGCAATAGACTCAACATCCCCCTAGATTAATGCATACGCGCACATATGAAGAAACGGAATTATGGTATCATGCCAATCACATCTAAGTTTAACTTGCTTTCCTCCACCTGGAGCACAAAATTTGGACACTAATTTACCTGAAAGACCAAAAAGTTCCTGGCCTTAACTAGAATCCCCAGAGACCTTAATTTCTTGTTATACTCGTCCCAGTTGACAACCTTGTCATCGATGCGGTACTCGCTCGCACCAGCGCTCGTGATAGCTCGAGTGAAGTGAATCTCCGCACCGCTAGCTAACTGGTAGACTAACCGCACGAAAGCTCTGCGGCCCCTCTGCTCCTTCTCGCGGTCGTCGAAAGCATAGATGAGGTCCTTGAGCTGTGCACCACGGAGCTGGCCGGTACGGACACCGAGGACGAAGCTGATGGCGTCCATCAAATTGGACTTGCCAGCTCCGTTGGGGCCAATGATGGCGGTGAAGTCCTTGAAAGGGCCAATTATCTGGTGGCCCTTGTAGGACTTGAAGTTCTCCATCTCTAGACGGAGAATCTTGCCCGGCGCGATTTGTGCGGGCATGGTTGCGGACGGACTAGGGTTTCTATCTTTCCCCTTCCTTCTGGCTGGCCAAAAGGGAGTGGGAGAAATTAGGGTTTCTGCTGAGTAGAAGGACAACTGAAGAATTCAAGATGATGACAGTCGACAGGAAACGAGTTGAACAGATCAATTAGGGTTCGAAGGAAAGGGAAAGTGGAGTTAAATTTTGGAAGGGAAAAGAAGAGCAGAGAGGAAGTTGAGGGTGGTGAGCGGGGAAGTGGGGGGAATTGGCGGGATAGGAAGTTTTTTGGGAGAATTTTTAACTAAGATTGAGAGTTGAGAACGTTCCCATTTCAGATTACTGAACAAGCCCCGCTCTCCTCTTTTCTTTTTTTCCTTTTTTTCGTTTTTTTTTTTTAATCTTTACTATGTTCTTTAAGTCTTAACTTCATTCTCAAATAATATAATGAATCCTCTCAGATATGCTAGCCTAATATTTTTTATAGATAGATAGATCACAGATAGGGATGGCAATGGGTCGGGTTGAGACAGGTTTTGTCAAATCCAAACCCAAACCCATAGGTTTATCCGCTAAAAAAATCCGGGGTAAAACCTGCTGAGTATCTGCGGGTTCATGGGTACCCGTGGGTTTTTTGGTAAAAATTTTACAATAACAAGTTTCTTTCAAAATAAAAGTTTAACATTAACTTTCTCATACAAATTATACATAAAAAAAAACCAATCTAGAGCATACAAGAAAACCGCAAATGATCAATACAAATTGTTCAAAATTAAAGATAAACATCTATAAACAATAAGATTAATTGAAAGCTTCTTACTCGTCAACTAAGTTTCTTCACTCTCCACTTAATAATATCAACTTCATTCTAAACAATTAGAAACAACAAATTATATATGTCTCCACAAACATAAAGAATATTAACTGTTTAAAAAAGATATATTATTTAGAGTATTAAATATACCGGGAAAGTAATTATATGTGTGTGGGCGGGTACCCATGGGGCGGGTTTACCTAAACCCAAACCCAACCCGGTGAATAGTGTAGCGGGTTTAAACCCGAACCCGGCCCAAAATCCGTCAACACGGGTTTTACCCGCGTTGACCGGGTTGGGTCGGGTGAGTACCCGTGGGTTCGGGTTTTGTTGCCATCCCTAATAATAGATGTATAAAAATTAGGATCAAATTACTAAATTATTCAATGTCCATATTTTCTCAAAATTGAATTAAAATTGACTTTTAAGGATGTAAATTATACAATGTTCTTATCTTCTCGAAATTGAATTGACTTTTAAGGATGTTGTTGTAGTCTAGAAAGAATATTTAGAAGATCAACAAGGTGCTACTAGATGGGGAATGGGAAGTGTTGTCACTAGGAATCGAACACACGACCTTACAATGAGAAATATGTCGACTCACCAGCTAGACTAGCACTCGTTCACATTTGCCCTCCACTTTTTAATATAAAACAAAAGAAATTATGGATATAAACGAGGGAAAAAAAGGAGTCCATAATATTAACTATTAAACCAACAATCACACCAAACTCACATTTTTGTTGATTGTAGGTGGGACCCACACAAAACAATTCATGCGTAGTTTTGCATATTGACATTTCTAAACATTTTATTGTAAACAATACATATATTTAACAAAATACAACACTTACAATCACAACTTCCAAATGACCACAAATGAAAATTACCATCCACCGCCATTGTTGAGTAGTTAGTACGACACAAAATGGTCCTCCCGTGTTATCATTGAGTTCAACGACGTGGTTGCGACAGACACGCTACTTCGTATCCGGTCATCTTTTTTCTTTCTCGATTGTTGTTCTCTTCAATCCTATTGATATTTTTCTTCGAGATTTTCCGGGTTCACGTGAAATTAATCTGTCTAATGTTAATTTAATTTCATACCGAGGCACAAGTTTTTTCTTTTGTTGATTGATTAATTTGGAGATTGATTCTGCTTGCGGTGAAAGAGGAGAATGTTGTGGTGGCTTGTCTAGTAATAATAAAGGAAATATATTAATTAACTGATATACAAGTCCAGAACATCATCGAATTGTCATGATGGCTTTTCTCGTACTACAGTGGAGGCATTGGCACAACGAAAAGTTTATTTTTAGGTGGTGGAATGATAGTTCTGCGGTGGAGGCGGAGGGAGTAAAGAGCTGTGAAAGTGCGGGCATGTTTCGGCATCCCTAGAGGAAGAGTGTTATTTATTTATAATTAATATAAAAAACAATCTAGATCAACTTATATATTAGCGCTCAACTCGTTCATCGTTGATGAATGATGACTAACAGTCAACACTAAAATGAAAACAAAGTTTGCTCTAGAATTATCATATTGAATATATTTTATTGAAGTGGCATCTCATTTATAATTCACGTGTTCTCGTTGTATTAACCCTTGAAAAATTATTAAATATGTGCTTCCGTCTAGCTTTTTAAAATTAGGTGTTATCTTGGCACCATAATAATAATCGGTGACTAACATTAACCGTCCTTATTCGTCTACTTGGTAAATTCGTATTCAGTGACAGAGTCAGAGTTAGAATCTCACAAAAAAAAAAGTCTTGAGTCATGATTTTTTTTTATGGTTTGATCAAAATTTCATTAAGAGTCTGCAACCAATAGCAAAACACTATGGCACTCCTCGGAACAAACAAAGTCTGTACAATGATAACCTTCACACATACCAGAAAGTAAACTCAAAGAAAAAAGCTTTCTACCCCAAACCCCTAGACTCAAAACAATCCAACAAACTCTGGTCTAGTTGGCATCGAAAATGGACAATCCACTTCGCTTGGAGAACAAGTTGAGAAGGGGACCTCGCACCATTAGAACCATACGTCTTGAAGTAACGTTCATGCCAGATCCGGCTAAGCACGACACTCCATGACAAACGATTCAAAACAACAACAGTATTCTCATCACTCCACCGAGCTATACACCATTCTAAAACTGTAGGCCAGTCTCCCAATTCTGGCAGAGCTATAGTCTGCAGAGTTTTAGGATTCGAAAGTACATGTGTCATTTTTTTATTATGTAAATATACAAATAAATGGATACTATTTAATAATATAATTAAAACTAATAATATTCAAATAGATAAAATATTCGAATAATACATTCATTCTTCTCATATTTTTTCTTTTCCAGCATAGCCAGGGCATGACACTTTTATTCAATGGGAAACAAGAGTTTGACAGCATTATTTACTACCAAAAGGACAAGGAAATGTGGAACCTTAATTACAACCAACCGTCGCGACGAAACGAAGGCACCTGCTTATTGCTATCAGTACCACTTGTCCACTACTACACCACAGGGAAGAAAAGGGGGCAAACCTCAGAATCAAGGCGGCCACAGAAGGAAATTTACCAGCGAACATACATTCTCAATCTACTTCTACAATCTGAAAAGTTAACAAGTCTGCTACGCCAACTTCTCAGTCCCCAGCATTGAAGTCGATCATAGTTCTCTCCCACCGCTTTGATTCGGTGGTACACCATTGTCTGGCTGATCTACCGACTTCGCATTATCCTGATTCACAACAATAACTGCCGGATCAGGCTTCAACGAAGTTCCAGGAGTTTTAGCCGATTGCTCGGCAAACTGTAAGCCAGCTTCCATATCTTTATATTGGGAGATGACTCGCTCAAGTTCGTCATGGAGATTGAGGGCCTCAAACAGCATCGCCTCATCATCAGTGGTGCTCTCTATAAGCCTTTGCACAACAGCCTGCGACTGCTTGCACTTCTCGAACAAGCTCACTGTTAGCTCCTCCTGGATAAATGTTGGAACACTAATAGTTAAAACCATCTCCCAAGAAAAATAATAATAATACCAACAACACAGTAAGTCATCTAACAGTCAATCAGAGATGCAACTGGAAAGTCGGATCGGAAGAGGAACAAGCTCTGACCTTGATGGGTATTGGGTCTGCTTCTGCATTTAAAATGCTAGAAAGAAGTTCGAGACTATTCCTAGTTGTTACAATAACTTCATTCTTTTCTTCCACTGATAGACCATGATAGTTCTCTCTGAAGGTAGCATGCTCAAAGCCAGGCGGCACTCCTGAATCAGGAACAGGATAGCTTCCAGGAGGAGATAGAGGCTGGCGATCGAGATACGACTCCAGCGAGTATTGCATCAGAGGTGCATTTCCATCAGCTAACATACTTCTTTCTTTCAAGCTCTGCCATGCAAAAACAGATACCATCCATCATGAAGCAATAAACCTAACTATCCCTCTATCCTGCCCTCGAGTCCTTAAGTTACCCCCAAAGGATATGGCTAGACATACTAGTGATAAAAGAGAGAAGCTGGACAAAGGACGGAAGGAGTAGTTGATTAGAGGATACATAGCCAAAAGGAAGAAGAGAACGAGTTTGTCCTACCAAAACCAGCAGCTTCAGGCCCTCATATTTCAAAGAGTGTGGTCAAAATGTTGCTGTGAAATTTACATAAACAGAAAACTCATGCCCTGATGCTATTATTCTCATAAACGAGAGATGTAACTTCAAAATCTGAATAAGGAGTCTATAGCTGACACAATATTGTTGAAAAAAGCAGAAATAAGGCCTTCAAAGTTTCAAGTTTGGTTGGAGTTGTAGTTGGAGAAACGCGAACAACAAACTATGAGCAATGGTTAATAAAATAAAAACAATCAACTTCCTAGACATTGAAGAAATCCAAGTCACCAATCAAGAGCAAACAAGGGGGAAAATGAACATATTTTGAGCCAAATTGTTTGTACTGTTGGAAGTTGGGAGAGAGAAACTACCATGTAAGTTTGTCGAAAAACAGGCAGATACTCTAGATCCTCGGATTCGCCCCAAGCTGCAATCAACTGTGAGGCCCTATTCCGATTCCCCGGATCAGACAGAGGGTTGTCAATCATCTTCATCATCTCATCCAAGGCCTTCTCTGAAGCAACTGCAGAGAAAACTTTCTCGCAATTCATAGTACAGGCCTCAAGCAAATCAAGGCTCAATCTCTGGCTGACTTGGCTCTTCCCAGAAAGCTTTCTTTTTATGGCCCTCACAATGTCCGCACCATTAAACTCCTCACTGTTGATCAGAGCGCATATCCTCAAATTCAATCCCCAATTCGGCTCCGCCAGGGTCTCCGCTGTTGCCTCGTCCACCATCTTGGATTCGGGAGTCGGAGCCTGCAGAATTTCCTTCATCTTATCACCCACAACCCGGCTCATCTGAGCACCGCCAGTGCGCAAGCGTTCTCCCCATTGAGCCAACTTGAGCTTGTCCATTTTCCCTTGTCCTACGCCATTAAGAGAAAAGGGAAAAATAACGGATCAGAGAGAAGGGTTCCCACTTTCGCTATCGAAACCCTAATAGAACACAGTCTCGCGAGTCGTTCGAACAAGAGCTTAACTAACTGTTCAGTCAAACGACCGGAGAGCTCCCATAAATAGATATCCCTGTGAAGATTGTTCAGTAATAAGATCGAAACAGAGAAGTACAAAAACTGAATTCGGCTATGCGTATGCAATAGTTCCAGAATTCAAACGACCTTATCTTGCTTTTTTATCTCTTGAACTTTCTCGGCTACCAAACAAAAAAGAAGCAATTTGAAACACGGGGCGGGATGTAAAATAATGGCGAAGATACGGAAACGAGTCGGAAACCTGAGCTCAGCAGCGTTCAATGAAACGGTGGCGCTGATTGGAGACGGTGAAATCGCTTTTCCCGGTCACCGGATTCGACGTGCTCGTTTGTGGAGCTTCCGTACCTGAAATCTGGTGGCAGTAGTAGGGAGATAATCATCAGAGAGCGACGTGCGAGAGAGAGAGAGAGAGAGAGAAGGGACGAGGGGAGGAATAGTCAAAGGTCAGAGCTACGCGTGGCCGAGTTAGGAGCCACGTAGCGGCTTTGTGGGGCCATGTGAGACATTCGCGGGAAAGGCTGTACGTATATACCGCTTTTGTTTCTTATCGGAAAAAGTTACTTTCATAGTTTTCATTCGTACTAGCTTTGCACCGACTACCGAGTCCCTTGGCCAGGTAATGGTTGTATGAATGTCTATTGGGTATTGTTGGACTTTATTAGTAAAAATGTTCTTAAGTGGCAACTATTAAGGTTCACACCTATTTGATCAAATTCAAACAATGGCGATGTTTTTTTTTAATGATTTATTAGACATATCTAAATTAAATTAACTCTACTCATATGGAGGTTCGTGAGAGCTCCAAGATTACAACTATGGCTATGACTACATTTGTATAGAAAAAGAGGAAAATGATAAAGCTTGACAATAGGATGTCTTGTGTGAATTTGGTGAACCCCTTGCTCAGTCATTTCACCTTCTATTTATAGCACCAGAAGTAATTGTATTGAGAAACTGTTCAGCTAACGTGGAGTGATGGTTACCTCCTCGACTACTTTGATGATACTCTGACATTAGATGTGCCCCCCTCTCCTCAATAACTTCTCCTTAGTTTGGGTGGACCCCCTTGTCACGCCATGGGTGGGTATTCGAATTACATGTGTCAAAATGACAAAAATAAGCCAAGACGAGAGCGAGATGACTTACCCTCTTGCCACTTGATGTCATCACCCCACCTCATCACGTTAGTGGAGGTATGTTGATCACCCACATGGTATTGCACCAGGGTATATTGATGACCCCCCCTCTCGACCACAACATGGGAGTCATGAATACCAGGGGGTATGTTGATGACCCCCTGACCCTATCATAGGGGGTGGTATGTTGATGACCCCTAACCACACCATGGGGGTGCTCCAACACAACAACACAATCTATACTTAGTAAAATTTCACCTCATGGTATTGCATCGGGGGTGAGGGTTATGTTGATGACTCCCCTGATCTCACCATGGAGGTGCTCCAACACTTAAACCATATTTCGAAATTTATGGTTTAGAGTGGCGCGCATACATGATGACATGGGGTTCATGGGCCAAAAAACCTAATCCACGTGGCCCAACTTGATTCATTTTAATTGTTATAATTAAGTTGATCTTATAAAGTCATTTAATCCCTTGTATTTAACCGATGTGGTATAAAGTCAGTTTTGGTGTAAACAAATGCCCCCAAATACTTAGTACATAAGAATTATGGACTAAGTAGTTAACACCATTTGTACCACCTCAAAGCCAATTGTTAGCTTTTATCAACTCATTCAAGTCCATAGCCAATTTAAATTGCCACTAGACTATTTATTTGCCATTCAACATGCCCCGTCAGTGACTTCTAATGAAGAGGGTGGTTATAGATTTGATAAATCGTGCCCCTCATTGCCACTATGATCACAAACACGACATCATAAATCAAGTGGCATGGTACTCTAATGGAATCATTGGGGCAACGACATTATCACGCCCCCCCCCCCACCAGTTAACCACACAAACTATCAATTATACCCCGTATCAATCACCATCACCCCCCAGAATATCTTATCATGCGAGGTATGGTTCACTCCTTAGAACAAACTTGGCATGGTAAGGCCACCTTAGTGACCTAATGGTATCAGAAATAATGACACCTTGTGTCCTAAAGATAAGGAATGTAAAGTCTATAAGTGGCATGGTGATGTGATCCTGGATTGTAACCCATAACTAGTTTCATTGATTTTCAAAGAAGAAATCAAGTCAAGGGAAGAAGAAGCTAAAAATTTGGCTAAATACGGAAACAACGTCGGGGTACTTACTTTGGAGGCTTGTATCTTCATCTTGGAAGATAATCAATGGGAGTTTAGAGTTGGACATCAAATTATAAGTTCAATTAAAGATCGTGAAGGCGTTGGGAGAGAAGATTGAAGCTTCTTAGACACCAAACGAGCAACCTAAAGATCGTATGATGATAAGAAAAGAATCCCATGCTTTGTGGGTTAAAATCCCCTATAGGGGATCTGGGCTCGAGATAAGGGGAATCGGATCAGAAGGACCTCGGTTTGAGGGTGCTAATCTCCAATAGGGGATTTGATGGTGCAGATAGGGGATTTGTCCCTGATAGGTTAAACTTCCTTTTTCGTTTTGGACTTGTTATTTAGTGTTTAAGTGTCTTTTTGCATTCATTTTTAGGGTTATTTTGTGACTCTTGTATAAGTAGATGAGTTTTATTGTATTAAAGAATCAACCAAGTTTAATATATCAAAGAAATCGATAGATTTTCGAGTTCAAGTTTGAACTGTTGTGCAAACTCTCCGTCGAGGATTCTGAAGGATTGTAAGAGGTTCTTATCAAACATATGATCACATTATTCACATCTGGTCATGGCGAGCAACGATTATACAAATGGTCCTTTCCCACAGGTTCGTGATCGTTTGACAAGTTTTTGCGTTATCTTTACTTTTATGCGTTCTGGAAGAATACCCCAATATTGGAGTGATGTGTATTATGAGTGTTGAGCAAGTTTGAATCCCTTATATCCGACTCATATAAGGTGGTATCAGAACCCGGTTCATGCTTATGGGCAATTTTTTTGAAGATCTTGATAGTATTCTTAAGTTTCATGAAGATTCGTTGAGCCACTGACATGGAAGAAGCAATCAGAGCTTTGACGACTCAGATGGAAATGATGATGCAAGAACAAGCTACTCAAGAGGCAAGGATGGATGCTCAGTTGGATGCCTCCCAGGCAAGATTAAAAGCACCAGAAATGAAGGAGTCCCAGAGAAATCAAGCCATGACCGATCCTAAGTATACAGAGGAATTGAATGAGTATGTCGAAAGGAGAAAGAAGATAGTCGACCCCGGTCTTTGGAACGATATGCAGAAGTCATTGGCTGCCCTGAAGTTGGCACTCCTAAAAGAAGAGACATTGTCGAAACCAACGGGGTTTCATGAACCCTGTGTTGTTTGATCAAAACAAGTTGCGAACTCTGCAACATTGTTTATGAAGAAGAGGACGAGTCAAAGGATGCAACAACAACTTGCGAGTTCCTTGAAGGCAACATACTGGTTTCTCCAACAATAGAAACTCCAGAGCAAAAGAAACTCGACGAGATGGAATCATCAACCAACTTTTCAGAACAACAGAAGGAAGAGGGAGGTTTCTACGAGATGGCCGGTCTCGATGGAAAAGGGGTAGATGGTTTATCTCGATCCTTTTTACAACTATTGTGATGATGATTTCTCATGCAGGAACATACAAGCTTTGACGGAAAAGTTTTCCCAATGGGGAGGGACTGATGTGATCCTAGATTGTAATCCAAAACCAGTTCCATTGATGTTCAAAGAAGAAATCAAGTAAAGGGAAGAAGAAGCTGGAAATTTGGCTAACTATGGAAATAGTGTCAGAGTACCTACTTTGGAGGTTTGTATCTTCATCTTGGAAGATAATCAATGGGAGTTTGGGGTTGGAAATCAAATTATAAATTCAATTAAAGATCGTGAAGGCGTTGTGTGAGAATTGAAACTTCTTAGACACCAAACTAACAACCTAAAGATCGTATGGTGATCAGAAAAAAAAATCCCATGTCAAGTGGGTTAAAATCCCATATTGGGGACCTGATGCTCGAGATAGGGTAATTGGATTAGAAGGACCACCAGACTGAGGGTGCTAATACCCGATAGGAGATTTGATGGTGTAGATAGGGGATTTGGCCCTAACGAGTTAAACTTCCTTTTTCGTTTTGGAATTGTCATTTATGGTTTAAGTGTCGTTTTCCAGTCGTTTTTAGGGTTATTTTGTGACTCCTATATAAGGAGATGGGTTTTATCGTGTGAAAGAATCAACCAAGTTTTATCTCTCAGAGAAATCGGCAGATTTTTTAGTTCAAGTTTGAACTGTTGTGCAAACTCTCCGTCGAGGATTACTGAGGATTGTACGAGGCCTTCAAAATTCAAGTCTAATTACTCCTACTCAAACTTGCGCACTTTGACATTTTGCTATTTTATCAGGCATCAGCCATTATTGGCTTCTTTATTAAACAATATATTTTTCTACTTTTATTTATTTATTACATATGCTAAGTAGTGACAAGCATCACTGATTTCCATAGCCTTTGGCAATAAACAACATGGCGAAGGTGTAAACCCACAGCCAAATCCTTGGACTAAACCAACCAAGCAAACCATACACCATATGGCCATGGTTGTTTAAATGAGATAATTCATCACAAGTCGGCTTTGTATCATCTCCATCATCATCTTCCTTCCCTTCTCGAACTTAGGGTGAAGATGTCCATCTTCGACTCTGTTGTTGACTCACTAAACACAACACTTCTCACAATGGTCGAGTAAAACCACTGCGAGCGACTGCAATAAAGTGGGTTCGATTTAGTTTGTCAACCCGGGTCCTAGGTGCACTGCCTACTCCATGAATGTTCTATTATCTAGCTATCAAATTGTAGTGAAGAGTTCAAGCTAAGGAAACTAGAAAGTAGGAAAGCAAAAGGTTGTTATCAAATTAAGAAGGCTCACTCAGGAATGAGTCCCCCTAAATTGTAGTTAGGTCAAGTTGTAATTCACCCAATCCAATTTGATTGATACTTACACTACAGAAAGTTCATAAACAGTCTTGAGTCTTGATTAAAGTGTTCTGACTCTCTTGAATATATTACCCAGCAAGCTACTAACCTCCATTGGAATAACCTAACCAATGAAATAAGATTCAGACTTCCTCTATTGGGTTTTTACACATTACAGGGCAGTGAATCGATTGACTCTAGCACAATCAATTCACTACCTTCAATTCAGAATCCTCTGTTGACCTATTAAAATACGATCATTCTAGGTCAAAGTTGCAATTGCAGGAATATGATCAAGACTCGTGAAATTCTGAATAAACATCTCAATTGAATATATCACGTCAACCAATCATGACTTCAGGTTCATTCAACTCTTCCAAACATACAACTCTAAGGTTCTTACATACCCAAGTGAAAGAGGGAATTACTCTATAGAAAGAGAGTGGAAAGCAAGGCTCAATGTAGACATCATCGTGTAGATGGAAGAAATCTGCTCAAGGTTGTCAATCTTAACTCCTCGAGGCTTGAATAGAGCTCCAATGTAGATGTAAGAAATCTGCCCTAGATAGAAGAAATCTGCTCCAGGTTGTCAATCTTCACTCCTCGAGGCTTGAATAGAGCTCCAATGGTGGAAAGGGTCGATCTAGGGCTCCCAAGGGTAACTTTTCGCCACTTTCTCTCTCTAAACCTCTACTTTTTGGTTCTAAAATTCGTCCCCTTCTCAAACACCGAAATTTGGGTCTTGAACCAGTAGCAACTCGATTACACAATCATCACACGGTCTTGTAAATTAGCGTCATGTCCATGTAAACAAAAAATGCTCCACTTCATCTTACTTCGGTGGGGGAGAATACACAGTCATCACACACCGTGTAAAGCCCAGATTCGCCCTTATCCTGGCCACTTTGCACGCTCAAGGTACCATTCGCACGGCCCGCGCGCTCTCGACTAGGTTTTCCTCTTCCACACAGTCTCCTTGCACAGCCATGTAAATAGGGTTCCTAGGTCGTGCAAACCTCCTCTAGGTTGGTCAAAAGTACCAAAATTCATCCAATCGTCTCCAAACTTGTTCATAAGCCTTCATTTACGTACTAGGACCTGAAATATCACAAATGAACACAATCTAGCGTAAAATAGGCCAAGGAACGATAAATTGCCAAGCTAAACAATCAAGAAATGAGTCGAAAAACGTGTGCAAATACAATGTTATCAAATTCCCCCACACTTAACCGTTTTCTTAACCTCAACTATTATGACAGAAATCAACCTCTTTAAAATCCTAAAAATATTGATTTGTATGGTGTGAGACCAATAATCAACAACCATGCGTGGTCACTCCCAAGTCTCTTAGAAACTTGATAAAACAAATGGAACGATATTCAATATAGAACAAAATTCGAGGGAATGACACAAGATGGGAGTAAGCAAAGTCTGAATAGCAAAGTCGAAAACAAGAAAGAAAAATGACAATAGGCATATATTCATTCTGATATCACAATCAAGATGAGAAAAAAAAAGGACCCATTACTCAAAATAAACCATGCAAAGAACTCTTCCACCTCTCAGACGAAATCAGATGCATGACATTGACAATCAATGGCAAGAGAAGAAGCTTACTTGTCGACTATGTCATGCCAAAATCTCACTGCCCTGATGAGCACTCTGTGATGCTCAGAGTTGGGGGTTAGTATGTAGAAAGAGCAAGAGAGAGGTAGAGAAACAAAGAGGCGGCGATGGAATTGAATGAGGGTTGAGGGGGGTGCCATGCAACTTGCAAAACGCAGACATTGAAACTGTTTCCTAGGGTTCATAACATTTCGTATTTCTTTATTTTTGCAAATTAACAAATGTACATTTCTCTACTAAATTTTTGCACGAATATACCTTTCTAATATTAAAAAATAATAAATTTACCCTTTCATAAAATTATCTGTTAAGTAGTCGTCAAATGAGCTGGAAAATAACCAAATTGCCCTCCCTTACCCCTAAACACTTTCTAATGTGTTTAATTTATTTAATTTATTCGGTAAGTACTATAATTAGTGGATATCAACCTCCACATAACTCATCTTCCTCAACCTCCTCCTAACAACCGTTATTAAGAAGATATGACACACAACAATAGCTACCCAACCCTCTATGTAATACTTCTTCATTTATAATATGTATTAAAAGAGTATTTAATAAAATAGTTATTCTTCTCATTATATCTATCATGTGTTCTGGAACAATTATTTTGTAACATGGAAATTGTAAAGTGTTTATAAGATCAAATATTTTTTCTAATAATATTTAAATTGTTGATGGTTGATTAACAGTAGGGTTAGTGATTAACCATTAACGGTATAGCCGTTTATCACTCCTAATATAAAGCGTTATAACGTCAAAATATTATTTGCTAATAATATTAACTATTAAATTAATCTATATAACTGGCCGATAAATTTTTTTCGGTCCATTAACATTTGGCCAGGTAGTTACACAACTACTTATGAGTCATGATGGACAAACAATTGTAGCCGAAAGTTTGAGGAATGCGTTGGGCAAATAAAGTAAGAAAGTCGTCCTTAATCGAGGTCTTAGATAGATTATTATAACTGAAATGATGAACTTAAATGATTAGGTGATGTTGATTTGTTGAAAAGAAATTAATTAATCAACTTGGGAAAATATTTCTCCTCTTTTCCTTCCTTGTAAGCTGTTTTTTGTTGTACTCTTCTCTCTCTATCCCTATCTCGCTCGTCTTTTCTTTTTTTGCTTGTGATATTTCTGTCTCTCTCTCTCTCTCATCTTATGCAGCTTTGCAGCTTTGTAATGAAAGCCAAGCATCTAGGTCCGCGATCTAATTCTTGCAAAGTTTAAAAATTACTTTTGTGTCTGTGCCTTCTATTTTCTTTGCAGCCCCTCTTCTTGTGTCAAATGTTCGTCGAGATCTGTTTCCTCCTCCATTTCGTGCCGACGTCGGCAACCTTATTCCTTGTGTTAGAGGTGCGGTAAAATTCTCTACCCTTCTTTGCAATGTGAAATTCCCCCTCTTCTGGTGACTCCATATGTGTCGGTTCTACATGTTTTGTTGTTGTTTTTGTTGCTGCTCTTCTGCGGGCGAGGATATAAATTGATTGCTTTTGATTTGGCCTCTGTCCTGGGGGTTTCTGGCCTGCCGTCGGCTTTTGTTTTGACTCTATTTTTTGTTAACTTGTGCGGTGTTTTCCATCCTTCTCTCAGAAAAGGTATGTTTATCGATGTTGTTATTTCCACTGATTAAGGAAACCCGATGCCTTGGTGGAGACAATTTCTTGACAATTTTTGGTCTGAGGAAGCAGAATTCTGGGTCTCTCTTATCCGTGTATGAGGAGGGATTCTGTTAGGTTTCTGATAGGTTAAGGGTTTGGGTTTACGTTTTACATATGATTGCCCACAAATCTTTCGTTTATGTGCTTGAAGGTTGATTCTTTTCTTACTGCCGGCGGAACTAACTAATTTTGCTCGAAGGAAAGGGAGCCTTTGACCCGAATTCTGAATGTTTGGAAACATTTTTTTTCAAAATTTTCATCTTTCATTTTGAACTGTCAAGAGACCACAATTGGTCGAAAGAGATTAGTTCAAAAATTGCTGCATCCATAGCGTTTTTTAGGAAGGGCAGTTTGGGCTTTGGGGAGTCGGGAAAAGTTATTCCCGGGCAGATCTGCTACAGGTCTTGGTTGGGCCTGATTTATCTTTCCCAGCCCACTCGAGAGAACTGTTCGTCATCGGAGTCTATCGCTCCTATCTGCTTTCACAGCGTTTTTGTTGCCCAATCCATTGGTATTCTGGAACCGCCGCAACATCCTTCCTTCTCCTCGTTGCAGGCTCGCAGTGATATTGAAGTGGGTGTTTGATTTTAGCTTGCTGCTAAAACCCGAACCGATAACATAAGAGTCGGATTTTGAGTTTTCGGTTTTGATGCAACCCGAAAACTGATAAAAACCCGCAAAACCCGAAAGCTGTGACGGGAGTCTCACGGTGACGTTTTGGGTAATTGGACCTCTAGGGTATCTCCTTGCGATTTGCGACAGAGGAGACTGTGAGGAATCACTTCTTGCTCGACTGCTCGAGGCTTCGCCGAAACAGAGCCTCCCTTCCCAGCTTCTACCAGTTCAACTTCTCGCCCCCATCAACGTCCTCGAGGGGATCTCTGACATCGCCTTCGTCGTCCTCTCCCTCGCCTACGTTTTCGTCATCTCCTGATTCGCCTTCACTCCGCCTCTCAGCAATGCAGCAATCCATCTGGGTTCGAGGCTTCAAGTAGGTTTCTGTAGCCGCCATCTTGCTGCCGGAGAGCAGTACAGATCTTGTGTCAACGACCAGTAGCAAACTTCTCAGAGGCAGATCGAGACCTTGAAATTGTCGATTTGCCCAGCCAAGCAAGACAGCCCACCCATCTGCGTTTGATTTTCTTCTTCCCAAATTGCTTCACGCAGTCTTTTCGTCGGCAAAGCAGAGAATCAGAACTGAGATTTGCTTCCCCCACCCAGTCTTTTCCCGGTAGTGCTTGTATTGGGTTTCGGTTTTCGGGTTACCCGAACTGACAGGTGACAGCCCTACTTGCTGCTGTCTCCTTTTACTTCGTTTCCCGTCGTCCTCTTCGATCGGTGTTTTTCAGCCGCCAACTGCTCTCTTCGGTCCCAAAAATTTCAATTCTTCACCTCCGCTCCGCCGTGCCAACAGTCTTCTCTGATTCCTTTACGACCTCCAGCGGTTGTGAAATTAGGATGGAGGGAGGGGTCCCAGTTGTTAACGGCGACAAGCACAGAGTCGAATGATTTCGTTGCGGCAAAGGTTCGAAGTACTGATTTGTCTCAATCATATGGAAAAAGGAAGTTGCGAGGCAGACGACACTCTGGAAACGGCAAGCGACATCAAAGCCCCCACTCATTCCTCCTTCCTCTCCGCGGTAAATTCAGTTTCCCTTCAAGTTAATCTCAATTTCTAGGGTTTGATTGCTGGGAATCGGACAATGAATTTTTTTTAATGATCACTGATTGGGGAATTCTGTTTTTCTTTCCCCGAATGATTTTCGACGACTGATTCAATGAATAAAAAAGGCTTGAATTTTGTTTCTGAAGCAGGTAGCTCTAGGCACTGTATTTTCGGTTAAGGGTTCTGTTTGGATAATTTGTGAATGGTGGTGGCAACCCTTTCAGGGGATATATCGGTTCAAAGAGGTCTATCTCTAGCGAGGGTCTAGGGTTTGAGAATGGGAATATTGGGGAGGAAGAGCCACTTCCCTTGCAAACGATGTACGGAGTTGAGGTCTCGATGCTCGATTAACTGGTCTCTACAAGTTTTACACGTAATAAGATATTGCTCCTACCATCTTCATTAGCTCCTAAATTACAAATGAAATTTGGGTCCTCCGACCAACTGGTCGGATTAAAGCTATAGTTTCTCATACAATTGCCTCAATTTCTAAAATGAGACATTTACCCCAAATTGCCTCATTTTACAAATGTTAAATCCAACGACCCCTAGCTTCTTTTCCATAATTGTGGGATGGATACAACATGCCCACTTTTTCTAGCATTTTCCAGATCAGACATTGACTTTGTATGAAGCAAAAGGTCTGTGGGGTTAGGTTTTCTTTGGGGGAAATTGGAGTGGTAACATTTGCAGAAGATAAGCAAGTTTGGTGTTGGGAGGAGACAACTCAGGACTTGTCCAGCTCTGTACATTTTTCAGTTCTAATATTGGCAATGGACATGCCATTCGGGTTTGATGAGTTAGCAGCTTGCTCCTTTTTTTTTTGGTGGAGAGCTTTGTACATTGATCTTAGGCTGTCTTCATCATTTCTAATGAATGGCTTTTTTTTTTTCCTTTCTTTCTTTCTTTCTTTCTTTCTTTCTTTCTTTCTTTCTAATAGGCTTATTGGGTTATTGTGAACTTTAATTTTTTAATCTGTGAGTGATCCTTGAGGAAGGTGCCCTGAACCAACTAAACAGAATGAAGGATGCTAGACAGCTTCTATTTATGTTTTCTCTTGCTGTGAAATGCCGTGTTCACTTTACCCTTTGTTCGAACTCCGGGGCCCTCACTCAACAATAGAAAGGATATGCTGACAGTTTGAGTATTACTTTGAATTCTGCATTGATGTAGCTTTTTTATAAGACAAACTTTCTGTTTCTGTAGGAAGAAAGCTCATTCCTCCGAAAACATTGGGAATCATTGATTATTTAACAAGCAAATGGTTATCCTCATCGGCGTATAGTATTTGACTAGGGTATTCCTCGTATTTTCAAACTCCTTTAGGTGCTCTTTCCTTTTTGCTCTTTATGTGACTTCGCTTGTGACATGCTCTTTGTGAAGCAGGTCTAATGGACAGAACATCTATTAGCTGTCTTGTCAACAGCATCTCTCGGTTCATTCTTCTTGTTTCATGTCAGACAAAGATACATGCAACTATTCAAAATGATTACAGAAGTATGGTTATGGTGCTTAAGTATTTGAAGCCAGTGCTTGATGAAGTTGTTGACCACGATCTAACTTCAACGGAAATACTATATCAAGAGTGTGAAGAGCTTGATGCAGCTGTTAATGAGGCTAGAGAATTCATAGAAAACTGGTCTCCGAAGATGAGCAAGATTCTCAGTGTAAGTTGTTAGTTCTTATAATTTTCGTTGCTCCAAATTCACCCACTGTGAGTTATCGTACAGGTCGAATGGCTGTGTTGCCCATGGGTATTCTTCATGCTTTCTTTCACATTCAAAACCGATGTGCCTAAGGTCGAATTGGAACTATTTCACCAAACAGTTAGGTGGGGGGGGGGGGGGGGGGGGGGGGGGGGGGGGGACTTTTTTGGGTTCTGACGTCTCCAACCTCATTCTACCCTTTTGCTGAATACTTTTTCATTTGTAAGTACAAGACATGGAGGGGTAGAAAATTAAGCTAAGCCAGATCGCAAATGTGCTACGTTTATTTTAAAGGAAATGAAACTATACTAGATTCTTAGAGCCTGTCCTTTGAGAAAGAGATTCTTAGATTTTTTCCCTTCAAATTTTCAGGTTCAGAAGACCGGGGCTCTTCTGATTGGAATCCAAAGATGTTCGCTGGAGATTTGCCATATATTATGTACACTGTTGCAGTCTTCTCCAACAGATACAGACTTAACTGTCATTCAGGTGTGCGAATGCTTAGTGTCGGTTGCTTACTTCACACAATAGCTGCCAGAGTTGGGCTTCTTATCTATAGTTGTCTCTATCTGTAACATTTGATTATTATCACTCTTACCCGTGAATTTGGAACCCAATCATCAATTAACTTCAGAAAATTATCTCAGAACTGCATGCAGGAGCTTCAGAGTGTGAAACAAGAATCAATTACGAATTATATAGAAGAGGCTCTAAGAAGTCCAAGAGACGACACTGCTTCTTGCCCTGATCATGTGATGAAAATCATTGGTTCACTTAATCTGAGGACAAACCGTGATCTCCTGAAAGAAAGTGTGGCGTTGGAAAAAGAAAGGATGAATATAGAGGCCAACAGAGACAAAGGGAACTTGGAGCAGGTAAATCAAGTTGTGGATCTCCTGTGTCACATACGTGCTTGTCTGCTTAAAGTTGAGTGCTCTGAACCCGAGAGTGGTGTCAGAATCCCTCCATATTTCCGGTGTCCCTTATCTTTGGAGCTTATGTTGGACCCTGTCATTGTGGCTTCTGGTCAAACTTATGAGAGGAATGCCATCCAGAAATGGCTTGATCATGGGTTGGCGATTTGCCCCAAGACCCGTCAAACACTTTCTCACGCAAATCTCATTCCCAATTATACTGTCAAAGCCATGATAGCAAATTGGTGTCAGGAAAATAGCGTGAATATTTCTAGCAATTGTGAGCGGGCTAACCTCGCATTGGTCCCATTGCCTTCATCAGATCCTGGGTTATTTCGCTCAGTTAGTGAGAACTGCTCTTTGGATGCCAGCAAGGCTTCTTCAGCTGAAGTTAGAAATGGATTTGTCGATCACAAGGTTGATGACATATCTGGGTTCGTTGGACAGGAATCGAATCAAAATGAAAGCTTGAAGAATGGAAATGTAGAATGTCCTTCTCGTGAGCTGCTGTCATATCAAATCAGCAGGAGTGCATCAGCTTCGAGTGTTGTTTCTAGTACTGAGTTTGGTCCGCCTTCAACTCAAGTGTCGAGAACATCTTCCAAGCACCATAATGTAAATGAATTCTCAGTAGAAGTCATGACTGAAGTATCTTCTGCTGCTGCTGCTGTTGCTGCTCCCAGTAATGAGTCTGCCAAGATTCAATTCCAAGACCCTAAAAGAAAACCAAAGATTTCAAGCAATGAAAACTGTTGCAGCAGGGTTCATTCTGTTCCATCTGATCTGGTGTCATACGATGATTTAACCACCACATCTCATGTTGAGGAGTTGGTGGAAGATCTCAAAAGAAGTCATTCAGATGAACTACATACTGTAGCTGCTGCAGAGTTGCGTTTCCTCACCAAACACAACAAAGAGAATCGTGTAATAGTGGCTCAATCTGGTGCTATCCCACCATTACTATCACTTCTATATTCAGAGATACAGCTCACTCAGGAACATGCAGTTACTGCCCTCCTGAACTTATCAATCAATGAAGAGAACAAGACCATGATAGCAGAAGCAGGAGCAATCGAACCTCTGATTCATGTTCTGAACTCGGGGAGTGACACGGCCAAAGAGAACTCTGCAGCTACTCTGTTTAGCCTCTCTGTCCTGGAACAGTACAAGGCAAGAATCGGGCGCTCCGGTGCAGTCAAAGCCTTGGTGAACCTCCTAAGGTCAGGGACTCTTAGAGGGAAGAAGGATGCCGCTACTGCATTATTTAACCTCTCTATCTTTCACGAGAACAAGGCACGCATAGTTCAGGCTGGAGCAGTGAAACATCTCGTGGAGTTGATAGATCCTGCCACTGGGATGGTGGATAAATCGGTTGCTCTTCTTGCAAACTTGTCGACGATTGGGGAAGGCCGTCTAGCGATTGCTAAGGCGGGAGGCATTCCTTTGCTTGTCGAGGTCATTGAGTCAGGATCCCAAAGGGGAAAAGAAAATGCTGCTTCGGTATTGGTGCAACTGTGCCTTAACAATCCAAAGTACTGTACCCTTGTTCTACAAGAAGGAGCTGTCCCTCCACTTGTTTTCTTGTCGCAGTCTGGAACCCCGAGAGCGAGAGAGAAGGTATGCTTGCAAAACCTCATGTCATGTTAACCCCCCCTTATAAATGTTGACTTGCTTAATTCTTCTCTTGTTCTACAAGAATGACCCTATGATGTGGTTTGGGTGATATTAATGCAGGCTCAGCTTCTCCTTGGCCACTTCCGAAATCAGAGGGAAGGAAATGCGGGGAAGGGAAAGTGATGTAGAAAGGGTCAAATTTTGTTTTGCATCGTCATGGTTGAGTTGTTAGATATTATTTGATCCCCTCAGTCGATATATTTTCCCTTATGAGCCATTTTCTTGTCATCTCTAGCTTTAGTTTATATTCAATGTGTAGTCTTTGGTGTTACTTGATAGCATAGAAGAGAAGAGGGGTGTGTTTGGTTAGTGATCTAGTGTTTCCACAAATGTAGTTCATTCTAGTGTATCTGGGTGCAAGCAATCTCCAGGAACTCATCTTCCTTTTGTGGTTTGGTTTTGTAAGTGATAGCCGACGATCTGTATATAAAATCTTGTACATCTGGTGATATCTGCACTTGGGGTCTGCAATAGAAATAAGGGTATCATAGTCGTACAAAGTGTGAATACTTTTTTATCTTTTCTTTTGGAATGCCTCGTAAATGTCCTGCTAATGTCTTCACTGGAACAACTCTGGTCTCGGAGTAGATGGGAAGTCTTTGGACGATCGCACATCAAAACATAAAGCATTTGCGTGCCAACGTATAGAAATCTATGACTAGTTGGATGGATAAGTCAAGTTGGATCAGCCTGTGGGAGGTGGATATTCTTCCGAAGTTTAGGGTGTTTGTTTGGCAAGTCTTTGATAGAATTCTTCCTACTACGGAAGCGTTGCGTGAAAAGAAAGTGGAAGTTTTGCCTCGATGTCGGGTGTACTGGGAGGCATCGGAAACTCTGGAACGTATGTTCTTGGACTGTCCGGTGGCTCGTGCATTGTGGGATCATTCTGGGCTAGCCCAACTGGGTGAAGGTTTGTCTCGCCATACTTTTCCGCTCTTTCTAAAGAAATTGCTGGCTGTGGTGCATGACCCTATTTTGGGTATGTCGGTAGTGGCTGTTCTGTGGCGGATTTGGCGATCCCGTAATTGGGTGGTCTTTGAAGGCAAACAGTTTGGGATCCCGGCCTTGATGAGGCAGTTCCACCAACAAGTCCAGGAGTGGATTGGCTTACCCCGGAACCTGCCTGTTCAGCAGGCGCGCCCACCGGCCCCTATCGTAAATGCGGCTGGGACTGACACAGCAATTTGTATGTGGGATGGGGCAGTGCGGCTGGGATCTCATGCGGCATGGGGGATGACTATCCTCAATTCTGCTAGAGAGGTCATCCTTGCGAAGGGGGTGCATTTCCCGTTACTTGGTGACCCAATGATGGTGGAAGCTCTGGCCCTCCGGGAGGCGATTGACTGGTGTTTGGCAAATGGTTTCAATGTCATGAGGTTTGAAGGGGATGCCCAGGTGATAATTGAGAAGATTCTCCGACGGGATGTTCGAGATAATCGGATAGGGGCGATTTTGGAAGAGATTGTCAATTTGTTTGCTTCAAATGTAGGGTTCACTGTACGATTTGTAGGTCGACGTAACAATAGGGTAGCTCACTTGGTAGCTAGACATGCCCTGTCTTTGTTCCCGACTACATGTCGCTTGTTTGATTTCCAGGCCTGGCTGAATTCCAGGATGTAATGATCTATTGATTTCAACCTAATGATTATCTTTTGTAAAAAAAAAAAAGTATAGAAATTTCCAAGGTTCCAGACATCCCAACGGGCAAGCCAACAAAAATGTTTCTTATGTGAAAATTTGGGCAAAACAAGAATTTTAGAGTGCCTATAAATAGATGGCCATTTTGCTAATGAATTGTTACATCTTCTACAACTTTCATCTTCTACAAATACCATCCCCATCTGAAAAAAATTCATATGCATTGCGTTTGCTCAAACGCTTTAGATATTATGGCTAATATGTATGTGTATTAGCATGTGTTTTCTACTTGCGTGAATATTGAATTAGTAGATTAAAACGGTATCTATGAATTAGTAGAAATTAATTTAATTTTCGTATATTTAGTTTTTCTTCTTATATGCAGAATCTTTAAACTGGTTATTCGGAAGGGAATTCAAAATTAAGAGAGAAAGTTGGGGTTGGGTTCATTGTTGGTACCAATTTCAGACTACAAATTCATGGTCGTTAGACATATGAGCAACTATGTGAGGTGATCAACACCAATCTACAACAATAAGGGGTAGAAGAGACGTTAATTGCCCTTACATTTAGGCTGTCAAACTTGCAAAGAAATTATAAATTTTATCACTATGGTATTCCTATTATTGATGATAACATATATTATGACAGGAAATCTAAATTGAGAGTTTGCTGAGATATGTGACAAGTTCCTAGTCATCTAGAAAAGTAGGGTTTTAAATCATCTGTTCCTAGTCACTAATCAAACTATATACTACTTATTCATACTAACTCAAACTAAATTAAGTAACTTGCAATGGTATTTTATGGTATTTTATGGTATTGTATGGTAAAACATATATACAGAAACATAAAATCACAACAATTATAATAACAGTCTAGAACAAATAAAACACAACACTCATATGCAAAAATACCATAAAATACCAGTACGGTATTTTATGATATAACATGGTATTGTATGGTATAACATATATAAAAATTTCAACTTACCAATTCATAAATTAAAATACCTACATCATTAGAGCAAACCAAATCAAATCGATGTTCACCATCCACCCATAATAATTCGTTGTCTAATAGAGTTGGATTTAACGTTCTCGATGGCGGCATCAGTGGATATTGATGATACACCGTAGGAGCTTCAAAATTGAATTCCGAAAACATAATAAAAACTAGATAAATACAAAGTCATCGACGATCGGCAAGGCTCGCCGGAGCCTCTCCTTGGTCACCAGCAAGTCTGTCACCGATGAAGCTAAGTGGGGGAAAATTTAGACTCTAGACGAGTGACCAACCGCCAGTCACCATCCCTGCCACTCCTCTGGCCGCCACAACCACGAATCTCGTCGTTGTTGAGAAATATTTTTTGAATCACGGTATTTCGGATAATTTTAATTAAAGTACAATCTTTTTGGATAAACTCCGATCAAAGTTGCTTATTTCGTGATTAGATGAAATACTAATTTATTTGTAAATTTAGAATTCAATTTATATATTTTATTAATTCTTTTATGACATAGCATTATGTCAAAGTGGTCTAATTTGATGATCAATCCACGGGATAGGGCAAAGTGGTCCAAATAGTTAGCAGTTTTGTATGTTATGGGGTTTAGGCGAAAGTACTCCATTAGTATAAAGTTTAGGCAAAACTAAGGTATGAACCAAAATAAAAATGTTGGAAAATTTGTTTTTTAATTTTTAAAATTATTTATTAATTTTTAGACTATATGACATCCACTTCGACCATATGTGCTAACTCATTAATGGTCAATGATGTTGACCGTCCAAATAAATGGGCAAACCACAAATCAAGTCAAAATAGTCCAAATATTGTAAAGTTCACGATGTAATGGAGGTTTTTTAAAATTCAAGCCAAAATAGTCTATGGCCATTTAAAGTATGAACTCTATAAAACCAAATGGGTTCTTGTTTTGCTAGACCGGATAAGGTGCTAATACCATTTAGTGTTAGCACCATACTAGCATGATTGACAAAGGGTATTATAGTAACTACTCACTCATAGCATTTTCCCCCTCCCTCTGTCCAATGGATTTGGGGTTCATATGCAAAGTACAATTTGATACCTAAACTTAAAATATTTAAAATTAATACCTAAAATTATTTTTTTCATATAATTCCAAAATATTGATAGAAAAGTATATTTTAGTACCTAAATTTTTTATGGCTTACATTTTGATACCTAAAACTTAAGTTATGAAGTTTCTGATTTGCTTTAAGAAACTTGTTGTCTGTTTTAAAAAATTTGATACATGCTTTAATAAACTTGTGGTCTGTTTCATGGAACTTGTGGTATGCTTTATGAGGTTCTAGTCTCCTACTCTCCTTTATAAGCTTTTTGGTCTGCTTTATGATATATATGGTGTTGTTTGTTGTGTTTTGTGGTCTGTTTATCATTACTTATAGTGAGGCGCGAGACCAATAATTAAGCATAGTACCACACATGTGTACTTTCCTACTTTTTAATAATGACAAGCGTGTTCCTCTCTTTATAAATCCACATTAATTTTAATAATTCTTTTGAAATAAAAAAAATCACCAGACAAAATATTTCTATTTATTGGATCTAGTATTACTCTGTTAGCATCATACTAATAAATTGGATGTGAGTATTATACCAATGGATGTCACACCCGCCGACATGACATTGGTTCAACCTGTACTAATCATAAAATCGACGTGAACACCACTGATATGATCGGCATGATCAATTAACGATATCTAAGCAAAATGATGTCATTTTGGTGAATTTAACTAATAAAAAATTAATGAATCATTTATTTTATGAGTGTAAAAGCTAAATGTTGATGTTATTTGTTGGATTCAAGTATAAACGTTTTGGTATTGACATTTAACGTTGTATTCAAATTTTAGTATTTATATTTTATTAGAAATATCGCATTTTATTTAAATATTGTTTGAGCCTAACTGAGTGTAGGAGTGAGACTCGTGAGAAAGAGGGGGGAAGTAGGGCAAGCGAAGCGTAACGGCGTCTCGTTTCTGATGAAAATGTTGGTCTAAGAAGGAGAGATTACAGAGGAAATTGGCCAGAGAGAGAAGTCTGAGTTTATTAGTGAGAGAATCCAAAATCCGATCCTCTACCTACCGTAGTAAATGCCCCTTTTATAGTACATCATGGTAGTGGGTATTTAATGCGACATGACTACAACGTGTGTCAGGGTTTTCGGCCATGCTTCTAGACCATAATTATTCCTAGGACCTGACTCACGACTTGACCTCTCCTTCGTAGACTGCGGCGCCCTCTATACAACCTTCGCTTCTTGTCTTAGGTAGGGCAGAACGACGCCGGCTTGATCAGGACTGAAACGGCGCTGGTTTTGGGCTAGATAAAACGACGTCGGCCTGGGTTGCATCCGAGCCACATCCCCAACAATTGCCCCCCACCAGGTGGTGTTCCGTGAATGCCGCCTGTTAATTTCCGCGCGGGTGGCTCGGTTCTTCTCGCTTCTTCACTCTCCCTAGGTTATCTGTGTGCCGGTATACAACTTGTCTTGCGTGTTGGCTTGAGCTGCGCTTCTTTCTCTCCGCGCGTAGGCTGCTGCACTTGGCAAGGTGCGCCATCAGACTTCATTTCGCGCGCGGATCCCATCCCAGTCGTACGCATGCACCTTACTGTACGCGTTTAACTCGCGCGGAGAGGTGCTCTTGTGTGTTGCGCGTGTTCCGCGAGCGATTCTTCCGTTGTTTGCACGCGTCGCGCTTCCTTATCTCTGTGCGCGGCACATCCGTAGACAGTTGGCGTGCGCGTTTCACGCACGATTCCCTTTATTGGCGCGCGCATACGCCTTTGTTGCGCGCGTTCAACTCATGCCCCCCAGGCTATGTGCGTGACGCGAGTGACCCCTTTTATTTGACTGATTTTTCTTTCCCGCGGGTGTACCCATGCCCCCCAGGCGGTGCGCGTATCCTTTGACGTCACCGCCTAGCCTCTACCTAGCTCTTAGCCCTAGTATCAGTAGGTGTCGACGTGGCCTGCTGTGATTCACTCGTTTGGGCGGTTACTTTTTGAAATTTGAAATTCCAGATTGACGTTTCCGATTCTCGATGTAACTTTCACCCTTTCAGTTTCCTCTCCTGGGGTTATAAATACCCCTCTGTCTCGGAGAGACGTTTTTCATCTCTAACCTTTCTGTTTTTCCTTTCGTCGTACTTACTTGCCGACGAGATTTTCTGCTTCTCCGATCATCTTGCGTCTCTAAGTTCGTGATTCTCCCTTTTGAAGGCACAAATGGCTAATGCTGATGTAAACAACGAGGTCGTGGTTTTGGCTGATGAAGAAGGTAATTTTTCTCCCCTCTCTCATGTTTCTTCCGATTCGTCGTTGGATCTGGTCGAGTCCGACGACGATGGCAGCGGTGGAGGAGTTCCGGCGATGCATCTGGGTGATTCTGACGACGGCGGTGACGACGACGGCGGTGACGGAGGGATTCCCGAGACGCCCTCGTACGATGCCGGATCTGGAGAAGATTTGGTGGAGTGTGAGGGCGTCGAGGCTAGCGAGGCCCAGTCGCGGGGGGTGTTGATCATCCGACGCGATCGTGCTAGCGGGTCCAGAACCGCACCGCTTGAGGGCGCCGGAACATCGGCGGCTTCCTCTGAGCCGATTTGCGTGTCGCGCGTGACCGAAGCGATGAGCCATCTCGGAGTGCACGGGATAGGAGCCGCGTATACGATTTTGGATTGGGAACAGATGTTCGAGGGAGAGCAGGTTCCCAGTGATAACTTGGTGCGCGGGCCAGACCATGTCTCAGTGTATGGGCGGCGGGAGGTCACGGAACTAGTACGCGGATTGGGGTTGCCCCCCAATTGGCAGTATGCCGTTCCGACCGCGCGTAGCCGAATCGGGAACTGCCCCGCTGGATGGTTCGGTGTATACTCTGAGTACTGGCGGATGGGCTTCAAGTTCCCAATCAACCCATTGTTGTGCGCCTTGTACAGGCAACTGGGTTGTTCTATTGCGCGCGTCTCTCCCTCCGTGGTCATGCACGCGTCTTGTCTCCGGTTGGTCTGTAAGAGGCTGGGTATTCAACCCACCTATGGTCTCTCCCGGAAGATGTACAAAATTAAGGGGCCGACCGAGACGAGCGATTGCCTTTCCATTAGGCGGCGGGACAAGCGGCCTGAAGGC